CAGGTGGCACTGGGCTTGCCAGGGGGTGCATTCCCCAGGCTCATGGTCCCCTCTACTGTTACTGATTTTAAACAAGAACTTTAATAGAACATTGTATTTGTTTACTGTAGTGAAATTCCACAGATTTGGGGGCTTAAGTGATAAAAATGTACCTTTTTCAGGGTTCTGAAGGCTGGCAGTCTGAGGTCAAGGTGTTACAGGATTGATGTCTCGTGAGGATTTTCCTCTTGGGGTGTAGACAGCAGACTTTCACTGTGTGTTCATGTGATCTTTCCTCTCTGTGTGTGCCAGGGGCAGGGGAGGAGGAGGAAGAGAGTTCAAACTCTGTGATGCATCTTCTTATAAGCACACTATCTTAGGAGATCAGGGCTCCACCCTCTGACCTCATTTAACTTTACCTCCTTAGAGACTCTATATTCAAATACAGCCACATTGGGAATTAGGACTTCCACATACAAGTTTTGGTGGGATACAAATACGAAGTCAATGAAAAACATCTTGTTTGAAAAACAGAATTTTGATACAGTCTTAGAATCTTCTGCTGTTGTCAGAGTCCATTAGACCAAGAAGATAGAGAGGATGGACCAAAGAGGGTTCTCAGCTTCCAAGGCCACCCAGCCAGGGGACAGGTCAGGGCTGGTTATGCCATGAAAGTGCATGTATGAGGCCTTTCCCCTTGAAGGGTCATGTTTTAGTGAAAACTGTTCTTAGAAATTATGGTGGCATTTTGGTTCTCAGGTCAAACCCCAGAAATTAAAAAAAATCCAGAATGAAGCTAAATGGAGCAGTGTATTAAATCAGAAGGGAAAGTTCTGTTGAAGCTCACAATTAAGCCAGGTACACATTAAAGCTGAGAGCACGTTTCATTGATCTAAATGAGGGAAACAGCCTGGTTTTGAGGGCAGGACACACAGAGATTCTGAAGGAAACTTGTGGATGGTCTTTATGACTTTTATTACTAGTATTGCATTACTTGGACACAGTTGTACCATAATTTCTACTTTGACTTCCAAGTCATTGTTAGTACCTATTTTTACTCACAATGGGACATTTTTCTGAGGTGACAGAAGGGATCATGGCACAGTATTGCCCCATTGCACACTGTGTCTGACATCTATTCACTAAATATATATTGGATAAATAGATGAACAAGAACTAAATGACAGAGACAGGGATTTTGGGGATCAAGTGGGCGCTGGCTTACAAATGAGGAAATGATTGCTTGAGATGGCATTTTCTAGTGCCTGGTGCTTGCCTGGTTCTGGCAGTTCCCCTGCCACCTGGTGGCCTTTTCCAAATTCATTCCTGAGGCCTGTATATGAGCATTTTCTTTCAGTGGAGCAGGTGGGCTGAAGTCAATGGGTCTGGAGCATGGGGAAGCCTGAAGGGGAAGTTTGGGCTGGTTCCCCAGGACTCCAGTGATGATTCCCTGAGCCCTCAGGTTCTGAGGCTGAGGCTCTAGCACAGTCTGTGTCTTTCACCCTTTTTTCCTGACTTCTCAGGGTTTTGTGCTTCTCTCCTTTCTCTTGTTCTCCTTACTATGATGTTGTCTCAGGTGCCCTGAGGTGTGTGAACTTGGAGAGAGCCTGGTAGAACCAGTGATGGATAATGTGGGCGGGGGAACTTGCACTGCATTTGTGCATGGGGGAAATAGGGACCGATGCTACCAGTGGCATTAAGGAGACACATAATGAAGGGAGAAAAGAGGCCTAGGGGCTCCCAAGAAGGTAACATAAGTTGCTTCACAGTAGCTTGAGGGGCACACAGACGAGCATGGGAGGTGGGGACAGGCTTTGATCAAAGTCAGATGTAGGATAGTGAATAGGAAATAAACACTCCATGGAGGTAGAAGTCGCTTCTTTCTTTGAGTATGTTTTTCTGATTGTTAAAATGATATATGTTCATCGTAGAAAATCAGCAGGTTTTGAGGGCTGTGAATGCACCCTAGGGGTTGGGCAGTGAGCTTGAGGAGGCCGTAGGTCTTTGGGGGCTATGGTCTAACTTCAGTCAGTTCCTGGCCGAGTACCAGTGATGGGCAGGCTTTGATCCCCACCCAAGCGGGGAGGTAGGGCTCAGGCAGGACTCAGCCACCTGAGTGGCTCCTTTTTGGCCTATTTTCCCTCTTTGGTACCCAGAGCCTGGATGATAAAGCTGCCACTGACCACTCATGCTGTGTGTCTTAAAGCTTTTCTTACCTTTCACCCTTCTTTCTCTGAGAAGGCTCATCTCCCTTGCTTTTCTTACTGTGTCCTCTCATCCGTCCTTAGAGAGTCTCTAATGGTAGAGTAAATGTCTAGCGTCTTGGGCCTGGACCCCATCACTTTCCTGGTCAATCTGTGTGTGAGCTCAGCTCTGTTTCAGGTACAGGGTTTCCCTGCTTCCCCTTGCTCCAGGCCCCAAGACCAGCATCCCATGTGGGCACTGGAGTGTGGCCAAGTGGCATCTTGTTGCCACAGCACCTGGCACAGACCATGATCTAGGAAACAGTGCTGTGAAAAGGCACCCTTCCCTCTCTCAAAATGACAGAACTAGCTTCTGGTTTGTGCAAGCATCTTGTGAGTTAGGTATATGTGGCCTGATTTATCTGTAAAACTGAGAGGCAGGTCCTGGGCCACTGGGACTCCAGGTGCCATTTGCACGACTACTCCTCCAACTCTGGGAACTTGCCTATTCACTGAGCAGTGGCTCAGTTCCACAGAATGGTCCTTCTTCCTTTTTGCCTCTATGGTGCCTGGGCCAGCTGTTCCTCCATCATTAGACTTCTGGTACAGCACCTCATCCCTTACGAATCATCTTTTTTCTCTAGACAATGAGTTCTACACAGGACTCCGCACCTGCCCCACCTTGTCCCTTGTTTGCTGACTTTGTGAGAGGTACAGATGTATACCCACGGGTGAATAGAGGCCTCTTAGTTAGCATCACAAATCCAGAGGCACCTGGACTCTGCAGGGAACACACGAGCTGCAGCTGACTAGAGATATGTGTCCTGGATATAGGGTAGAGCCACCCTGAGCTCTGCAAGCTATCACAGTCGAGGAATGCAAGTTGGTAGGGCCTCATTTTTGACATCTGGAGTTTTAAATGGATGGTTTTGATTTTTAAATTCTTTTTGGAACTAATCCCCAAACATTTTTTTTAATTTTATTATTCATATGTGCATACAAGTCTTGGGTCATTTCTCCCCCCTGCCCCACCCCCTCCCTTATCACCCACTCCGCCCCCTCCCTCTCCCCCCCACCCCCTCAATATCCAGCAGAAACTATTTTGCCCTTATTTCTAATTTTGTTGTAGAGAGAATATAAGCCATAATAGGAAGGAACAAGGGTTTTTGCTGGTTGAGAAAAGGATAGCTATACAGGGCATTGACTCACATTGATTTCCTGTGCGTGAGTGTTACCTTCTAGGTTAATTCTTTTTGATCTAACCTTTTCTCTAGGTCCTGGTCCCCTTTTCCTATTGGCCTCAGTTACTTTTAAGGTATCTGCTTTAGTTTCTCTGCATTAAGGGAAACAAATGCTAGCTAGTTTTTTTAGGTGTCTTACCTATCCTCACCCCTCCCTTGTGTGCTCTCGCTTTTATCATGTGCTCAAAGTCCAATCCCATTGTTGTGTTTGCCCTTGATCTAATGTCCACATATGAGGGAGAACATACGATTTTTGGTCTTTTGGGCCAGGCTAACCTCACTCAGAATGATGTTCTCCAATTCCATCCATTTACCAGGGAATGATAACATTTCGTTTTTCTTCATGGCTGCATAAAATTCCATTGTGTATAGATACCACATTTTCTTAATCCATTCATCAGTGGTGGGGCATCTTGGCTATTTCCATAACTTGGCTATTGTGAATAGTGCTGCAATAAACATAAACATGGGTGTGCAGGTGCCTCTGGAGTAACCTGTGTCACAGTCTTTTGGGTATATCCCCAAGAATAATCCCCAAACATTTTTAAGCAACATGCAGGCCGGCCTCATATTATCATGGGGTTTGATGGGTGACTTACCATGCAGGTGATGTTCTTGTTCTTTCTGTACGCTCATGTTACCATTATCATCTCATCTCACGGGTTAGGACATGGATGCAGGGCAGAGTAAGCCACTGGTGCCATCATGATTTAATATATGGTGTTTGAATGCTAGCAGCTTGGATGGATCACCAACAAGTAACCCCTAGGATTTGTCTACTTTCCATGTACGACTCTGAGTCCCTGGAGGGCATGGCTACAGCTTATACCAACAGCTGTTTCAATGAGCATTTTCTGTGTGCTTGGTGTCCAAGCCTCCCAACAACCCTATAAGTCCATATTAATATCTTTTTTATTATTCATTTATTCACTTGTGAGTACATCGTTTGGGTCATTTCTCCCCCCTGACTCCTGTACCTACCCTTTCTCTCCCTCCCCTCCTCGCTTCCAGCAGAGCCTGTTCTGCCCTTTTCTCCAATTTTGTTGAGGAGAAGACATAAGCATAATAAGGAAGACAAAGTGTTTTTGCTAGTTGAGTTAAGGATAGCTATACAGAGAGATTCCTAGCATTGCTTCCATGTACAAATGTGTTACAACCCAAGTTGACTCATCTCTAACTGATCTTTACACTGGTTCCTGATCCCCTTCTTGTGTTGACCTCTGTTGCTTTAAGGTTTCTGTATTAGCTCCTCTGGAGTGTGGCCATCAAACGCTTTCATGTTTTGGGTTTACTACCTATTCCCACATATTAATATCTTTACATTAGGGTTCAGGTAGCTCAGGAAAGAGTGATTTTTCCCAAGGTTTCTTAGCCTTCCTGTGAAAGACAATGACCAGCACTCCTTCCACAAAGTCTGGTGCTTCTCTGAGTCCATGGGTTAGCTTATGGCCAGGTTCAACAGGGCTATTGCAGCTGGTGGATGAGTTTCTGGGGCTTGGTTTCCAGGACTGCTGGACAGGATTCTGGGGCAGCCTCCTGTTGTGGGGTGCAGGCCAGGGTGGCAATGATGGGCCTGGGTCTGAGCAGCCCCTTGGAGAGGCTCACTGGGCTCGGTCCCGTTGGCTCCTCTGCGGTGAGAGGCACTGCCAGATTCCCCTGCAGACCATCTCACTGCGCAGGGCATAGTTGATGGCATTGATTGTGGGCACCATTTTAGCAATGAGGGCAGGTACCTGTTGTGGCAGAAAGTCCAAGAAATAACCTTCAAAGCCTTTGCTCCTCTCTCTGGTCCCACCTGATCACTCCATCCTCTACCCCTGAAGCAGCCAATCACTTGTCACTGCCTTGATTTTGCAGGCTCTGAGCCTTCCCTAACTAGAAGACATATATGGCTCATGGAGCCCCATAGAAACACATCTCCATCCAGACTCCACTGGGTGCTGATTTCAGCTCCTCGTCACAGAGTAAGCATATTTGCCCTCTGGCTGGCTGTACCTATCATCATAGTTCATGTGGCCCAGAGGAGGAGGGGAGACAAATTCTGTATGCATTATCTCTTTTCAAAGGAAGACAGAAAGAGAAGGCAGAAAGTCAGAAAGGAGGCCAGAAAACCAGAGGAGAGATGTGGTAGGACAGAGAGATGCAAAGATGGAGAGGGTACTGAAAGTGTCTGTACCATCTGCAGTTTGGGGGAGATGGAGCTCACATCCGCAATGGTTGCATACAGATACAGGAGAGCATAGGGGCCCCAGCCCAGCAGCAGCGTCCTGGCTGGCAGAGTGGTGTTTACCTGGGGAGAAACAGGCATTGGAAGCATAAGTTTGCTTCAGTGGCTGTAGCCCTGTGTAGGCAGGGAAATCAGGCCTGCAGTCAACAGCTCTGAACAGCACAAGGAGGTCTTCAGGAAGGGGCTGAGCCAGCAGAAGATCTTGGAACCTGATGAGCCTCTGTTCCTTGGAAGCCTATGTGACCCTAAGCTCAGTTGCCTTATTCATAAAATAGACTGATAATACTTGATCGGAAGCAGGGGCTGTGGGAGGAATCCTGATCTCTGTGATTGTGAGTACAAGGATTTCCAGGCAGAGCTGCCCTTAGACTTCAGGCCCAGAACAAGCTCACCATCAGTAGCTACAGACACCTGATGACATCAGCCTCTGGGCTCAAAAGATTTTCACAGTATTAGATACAACCATGGAGCAGTGGGCTGCTGGGAGAGTAGGTAATGCTAAAGTACTATCTGGAGCCACAAGGGGACACATGACTGTGATCTGATTCAGGAAAGATCTGCCATGTTCTCAGATACTAAAATTTTGATGCCAATTATCATTGCCTGTTTTCTCATTGGCATCAACTAACAAAGGAGGGCTTTAAATTGGAAGATAGCACATTTTCTTCAATGTTGGGTTTTAAAAATATGTTGACCAGGAGATTGTTTTCTCTTGAGTTGACCGTCCTTCTGGAGAAAAGTATGCTTAATATTGATGGAGAGCAAGCTGGAGAGAAACTGAGGCAGGGGGAGAAACTGCACCTCAGTGAGAGACTGTCATCTCCAGAAACCACTCAGCTTGCACTGAGGTCCCTGGGACCGTGCTTGATAACCACTATTGATTCCAATGGAACTGATGGTTTATAGTCAGCAGGGAAAATAGTAAAACATGGTGCAGCCTTGTCTTCTGGCTGATTCAATCTCCAATAATAAATATGGTGACTTTGCATTTGCAGACAAGGGTTGGGGTGAGAGAGTGGAGGACAGCCTGGAAAGCAGTGTCCATGCCTGAAGCTGGTAGACAATTAGGACCCTGGTCCCAAAGCAGCCCTTGTCCTCCTTCCATGACTTCAGAAGAAATGGGTCTCCAGCTAAAATCAATTTGTAAAGTCCTTTACCAATTCTCAGGTGAAGTGACAGATTTAGTGTCTTAATAAAAACACACTTGAGCACTACCATGGTAGAGTCCCAGACTTGGGTTTGGATCCATCTCTGCTATTACCAGATGTGTGGATTTTGGTGAATTGCTTAGCTAACTTCTCTCTGCTCCATCCAATCTGTGACACAGGGCTAATAAAACTTTCCTTCCTCAGAGAGTAGTCACATAGATGACATGAAAATGCACATAAAGTGATATTAATATATATATAATTTTTTGCATTACTGGGGCTTGAACTCAGGGCCTACATCTTGAGCCACTCCACCAGCCCTTTTTGTGTTAGGTATTTTTGAGATAGGGTCTCAAATTATTTGCCTGGGGTGGCTTCAAACTGTGATCCTCCTGATCTGTGCCTCCTGAGTAGCTAGGATTGCAGGCGTGAGCCGCTGGTGCTCGGCTATGTTTTTCTTTTTTAAAGAAATCTTTGCTGCTTGTTATGACTTATTTGCTAAATTGTTCAGGCAACAGAGTTAAAAGTGGCAAGGGAATATTAATGCAGAAATTTGGAAATGACCAGGAGGGCTTATTTTGAAGCCTTGTTTTTCTTGGACAAAGGTGCTTACAGGTGTGATTTTATGCTGTGGATAATAGCCTGTGACTGTGATTAAATTAATCATCACAAAGCAATTTAAAGGAGAATTTAAAGGGCCAGAAATCCTTAGGAAGATTTGAATGTAATAGCATGGACGGTGTCCTTCAGGCAGGCCTGGTTCTCACGTCCTGGTTCTCACCCCCAGGTGGCAAACTAAGCAAGGGGATGGTGGTTTCCAGTGCAAAAATAGCTCTGTGCAGGCTATTTTTTTTTCTCTTGATCATTACAAATGGATCAAAACAGAAAACCCTGATTGACATATGTAACATCATGCATGTTTCTTGAAGCCCCTGAGAAGGACTGAGAGATTTCTGCCCTGGGAGCTAGGTTCTTACCTGGAGATGTCCACTCCGTGCGAATTTCTGCTCCATGAGCCGATAGGAAATGAGTGTGATGAATAGGGGTACGAGGAAGTTGAAAAAGGCCATGGCGAAGAGGAAACTGATGAAGTTTCTACAGACAAGGGGGTAGAGGGGCAAGGGTCAGCCTTGGGGGTAGTCAGCTGCCTTCACAGGACCACCAGCCTCTGTGCTAGACAATCAGAAGTAGGGAGTTGTTTCCATTAGACAAGCACACAGAGTATGGTGGCTCCTGGTTCCAGTTGACCTCTCTTCATCAGTAAGGAACTATGCGATCCTCCCAGAACTTGCCTTCAGGAGTCTGGTGGAAGAGGCTTCTTCAAGTTCAAGTGCTTAGCCCTGCTGGGATATTTTAGTTTGGGAAATGTGTTCACCAATTGGTGGAGATGTCAGTGCACCAAGAGAAAGAAATATTCAAAGGGTGTTCTAGGCACAGGGACTTGAAAAGCACCTATGGACAACAAAGAGATTGGATACTGTGTCTCTGAAGAAATCATTGAAGGGATCACCAAAGAGCCTGGGGTCTCAGGTCAATGTCATGGGTAGCTGGTATGGCTAACTGGGAATAGGTGGGAGTTGCAGGAAGGCAGATTCCAACTTCATGAAAGGAAGACCATCCAAGTGACACCTTAGAGCTGCTGACTAAGAAGGGGTGGGAGGAGGGGCTGCCAGAAGGATTAAACCCTAGTTGGAGAGTGTTCTGGAGGACATTTGAGCAGATCCAGGTTCTCAAGTTGGTTTCACCTGGGACGTGTACTATCAAGGGAAGATGCTTCATGAGTCAACATCACAGGTAAAATAGTTAAACGCAATGTGGTTCCAGTAGAAACAAGAGGAGGGTTGGAGGTTATGTGACCACACCCAAAGGTAATTTCTAGAGGGTTTTCTAAGCCCTGGTTTCCTCAAAACCACATGGATGGGGCAGTACTAGAACATAGGTTCCGTGATAGTGGGGCTGTCATGCATTCCATTCTATCTCTCATGATAGATGCTCAGGGAATTTCTAGAAGTGATTTCCATGCCAGGGAGACTCCTCCCAATGCAAAGCCCTTAACATTCTTTGAATCTGTTGAACTAAGTGCATGGATCCTTTCAGAAATCTATAAAGTCAAAGCCAGGAAAGCTCACTGTGCTGAAGATAGACAAGGGGTGGTGGGACTCCATGACTGTTATGACCAATATATACCAATGACTCACTGTTGATGCTCCTTCTTGAGCTCAACTCGGGATCCTGATTTGTCTGACATTCCCATTACTTGGAATGGGACTTCCCTAGTCCCACTTTCAATCTTCAAGTGGACATCATGACTAAGGAGTTGAGACTGTCTAGCAAAAAGTAATATTTCCCCATTTGGGTTTTCAGTTGGAACATCCTTGTCCCAGAGGCTCAAAGCCAAGATTCCCATAGAGGATCTCAAAGCTGATCCTCTCACCTCACCTGTCACCCCTGGAGTAGTCCAGGGTGCAGCATGTCCCCAGAGGCTCATAGTCATAGTGTCCCCAGCCCAACAGAGGTAGGGCTGCCCAGAAGACAGATGACAGCCACACAAAAAGCACCAGGGAAATGGCTGTGTTCCATGCCAGTTGGCTGCCTGCATAAAAAGAGGAAGAGGAGATTGTGAGGAGAAGAAGTCTTGACCAAGTTTAAAAGAATAGATCTCATGGCTGCAGAGTGTCCCTAAATCCCAGTTCTGATTCTTAATAACTTGATGCCTCAAGCAAGTTAGTGTTTCTCTGAGCCTTTGTTTTCTCCCCCACAATAGGCGTGATACTCCTTTCCTCAAAGGATCATTATGATGAACAGAAGAGGTCTTTTAGCAGATCATCTTCTTCAGAGAACAGACAGGAAGAGGGAATGGCAAGTAGATATGTTTCCTAAAACCAAGATTAGGGATGACATGGGCAGCAGTTCAGGTGAGATGATGGAAGAGGGAGATGGAAGTCTGGATTATCTTCAGATGCAGGCAGTCTCTGCTTCGAGGGTCCTCTCTGAGACTTTTTGACTACAGCCCTGGTGCTTCATATCAGTGCCATTGACAGAGGCCAGTCCAACATCTTTGGATGTGGTCCAGCATCATTGATCAGGTGCCCTCCTGTCACCTCCACCCAGATCCCCTCTCTGCTGCAGATCATTCCCCCTTCCCTTCGTGGGAAGTTCCTCCTGGACCTGGCTTCAGAATGCCTGGCTTAAGTGCCCTTATCTGTTATTTGTTGTGTGGCTTTGTAGACAAGGTTCCAGGACAGAGGATAGGCCTCCAGAGGGGTTTGATCAGCAGAGAAGAGCAAGTCTACAACCTTCCTCATCAACACTTTGCTTCTATGGATATGGCCTCAGATGATTTACTTGGATGTGCCCCCTCCCTGCTAAAGACTGGATATTTGTGTTTCCCCAAATTCATGTGCTGAAGGTGAAGACTTTGAGAATTAATTAGTCATGATCGTGGAGCCCATTGGTGAGGTTATTGTCCTTATAAGAAGGGACACAAGAGAGAGGATCTTGCTCTCTTCCATGTGAAGATGCAAGGTGACCACCTGCAAACTCAGAAGAGGGACCTCACCTGAAGCTAATCATGCTGGTACCCTGACCTTGGACTTGTGAGAAGTAATTTACTATTGTTTAAGCCATCTGTTCTGTGGGTGCCCAACTGTGGCCACAATAATTAATACCCACCTTGGCCCATGTGTTGCAACAAAAAAGTGGTATGTCCAAGGAACCCAGTAACAGAGCAGATGAGCTCAGCCCTCTGTCCTCCTTCCCTGTCTTTACAACAGGAAGGATTGTAAGCTAAAACCTGAGACCTGAGAACAGGAATTAACTGCTCTGCATTGAGGCAGAGAAGACTGTTGCTATCTGAAGCGTGCGTGCGTGCGTGCGTGTGTGTGTGTGTGTGTGTGTGTGTGAGACAAAGAGAGAGAGAGAGAGAGAGAGAGAGAGCTCTTTGGGGTACTGGCACAAAAACAGACATGAAGACCAGTGGAATGGAATAGAGGACCCTATATGAATCCACACAGCTATGGTCACCTTATATTTGACAAAGGCTTCAAAATCATATGATGGAGAAAAGACAGCCTCTTCAATAAATGTTAAAAGTGGTTATCTGCTTGCAAAAAACTGAAACTAGAGCCATTTTTTATCACCCGGCACTAGTATCAACTCAAAATGGATCGAGGACCTTAATATCAGACCCAAAACTCTGAAGTTAGTACAGGAAAGAGCAGGAAACACTCTGGAAGTAATAGGTATAGGCAAGGACTTCCTCAATAGAACCCAAGTAGCTCAGCAACTAAGAGAAAAGATGGACAAATGGGACTACATAAAATTAAAAAGCTTCTGCACAACAAAAGAAATGGTCTCTAAACTGAAGAGACCACCCATAGAGTGGGAGAAAATATTTGCCAGCTATACATCAGACACAGGACTGATAACCAGAATATACAGGGGACTTAAGAAACTAAACTCTCCCCAAATCAATGAACCAATAAAGAAATGGGCAACTGAACTAAACAGAACTTTCTCAAAAGAAGAAATTCAAATGGCCAAAAAATATATGAAAAAATGCTCACCATCTCTGGCCATAAAGGAAATGTAAATCAAAACAATGCTAAGATTCCACCTCACCCCTGTTAGAATAGCTATCATTAAAAACATCACCAACAACAGGTGTTGGTGAGGATGCAGGGAAAAAGGAACCCTCGTGTACACTGCTGGTGGGAATGCAAGCTAGTGCAACCTCTCTGAAAAACAATAAGGAGGCTTCTTAAAAATCTAAATGTAGATCTGCCATATGATCCAGCAATCTCACTCCTGGGGATATACCCAAAGGAATGCGACTCAGGTTACTCCAGAGGCACCTGCACACCCATGTTTATTGCAGTACTATTCACAATACCCAAGTTATGGAAACAGCCAAGATGCCCCAATACTGACAAGTGGATTAAGAAAATGTGGTATTTATACACAATGGAGTTTTACTCAGCCATGAAGAAGAATGAACTCTTATCATTTGCAAGTAAGTGGATGGAACTGGAGAACATCATTCTGAGTGAGGTTAGCCAGGCTCAGAAGACCAAAAATCATATGTTCCCCGTCATATGCAGACTTTAGATCTAGGGCAAAAGTAGCAATGTTGTTGGACTTGGGTCACACGTTAAGGGGAGCACACATATGGGAGGAATGGGGATAGGTAGGAAACCCAAAACTTGAAAGTGTTTGATGTCCCCATTGCAGAGAAGCTAATACAATAACCTTAAAACGAGAGAGGTCAATATGGGGAGGTAATGAAGAGGTCAGGTAGAGATGAATCAATTCAGGTTGTAACACACTTCTGCATGGAAGCAATGCTAGGAATCTCTCTGTATAGCTATCCTTATCTCAACTAGCAAAACCACTGTGTCTTTCTTATTATTGCTTATGTCTACTCTTAAACAACATTGGAGAAAAGGGCAGACAGGTTCTGCCCAGAAACGAGGTGGGTGGAAGTAAGAGGGAGGGGGCGGGGGGCAGGGAGGAGAAATGACCCAAACAATGTATGTACATATGAATATATGAATTAAAAAAAAGGGAGCTTTGGAAGCAGTGGCTGGGATGGAAGTGAAGGGAGAGGCCCCTCAAAGCAATGTGGGCTGGAGAGGCTAACCTATCTCCAGTCCCTGAAAATGATAAGAACAAAGGGAGTTTTCTGGCATGGAGAGAGGCATGTATTAGGAGAGACCCACAGGTTGGTGACTTGGTCACTGTTCCTGTGTCTGTGGCAAGGGCATATCTACAGATTCCACAGAGGCCATGCCCAGGGCTTAGGCTGGGCTGTTGACCCCACGACAGCCTGCTGTGTCAGGCAAATCCACAGCTCAGGACTTAGGGCCCAGTTGGCAAAGGGAGAAACTGCCCCTGGAGGCATCTGGGCCATATTCAATCCCATCTTTGCCTCTACTCTTGTGTGACTTTGGCAAGCTGCTTAACTTCTCCGAGACTTTGTCACTTAGGCAGCTTGCAGCGAGGGTCAAGAGAGGCCTGGCTCTTCAAAGCATACATATATATATATCTCTGGGGGTGAATATGTTTTGTAAAATAATATGTATTAAAATGATAAAATATTAAACTTTTGATTTCACAGTTTAGAATAAGATTAAAATTGTTTTTTAAATTTTTTAAAGTGAGTAACTGGTTAGAAAAAATAACAAGTAAAATCAGAGGAGGTCGCACACTGATATGGCTAATTATGATGCCATCATTTGACAGCAGCTTGGGAAATCCAGCCCTGGACAAGTCTTCATGGTGCTCTGCAAAGGCAGAGGTCCCAGAGAAGAGTGAGGTGGCATGGTACAGCTACACACACACACACGCACACACACACAAGTGCACATATATACAGACACACACATACACGCACACACATGCACACACACACATATACATACATGCACACACACACATGCACACTTTCTTTTTCTACCTCCACCTGTCCTCCCCCAAAAGCACCTATGACTACGAGGACATTTGCTGTATCCATGATCTTATTTGATTTTCAAAATAAAATTGTGAGGCTGGTTTTTAAAATCATCTTGCAGAGAAGATCCAAGGTTCAGAGAGGACCCCAACTTGCCTGAGGCTGCAAGTCCAACATGTGCCTCGTAGGCTCTCCTACCCACCCTCATTTCCTGAACAGAATGCACTCCCACACACTCCCCTGTGGGAAACGCTGAGCACTTAGTCATGACTACCACAGCCTGCCTTTATCCTTCCCATTCTCAGAGATGCCTTTCTGCCTGGGGGCCCAGGACATACGTGTGCAACAGTGGTGATAGCGTCCCCAGGCGATAGCTGCAGTGCCGCAGATGCTGGACAATGCCGTGGCAAAGCCCTGGAAGCCATGAGCCTGGCAGCCCTCCGAGCCATATGGCCAGCGCCTGTGGGAGACACTGGGCACAAGTGACCCCTCCATCCTTCCCGCCTCCCACACCTGCCCAGCAGCAGTTTGGAAGGTTCCTGAGTGTTAGTCCCACAAAGAGGGCTTTGTAATCTGTGTTTTCCAGTGAGGGAGCTGGCACCTTAGAGATTAAGTCACTGGGATGAAGGGGTGGAGCCTGAAGCAAGTCCTCAGGCTCTGAGACTTATAGCATTGGAACTGGAACAAAAGGTCCTTGCTCAATCAGATGCCTCTCTCAGCCTTTATTCTACAGGTGAGGAAACAGGCCCAGAGAGAAAAGGTACTGAGTCACTATCACACAGCAAATGAAGGCAAAGTCAGAGGATAGCCATGGATCTCTCAATCTTCATTCCCATGGGCCAAACAAAGGAAGAAGGATAAAGGGTCAGTTCACTGTGGGAGGAAGAATCTCACTGCTTCAGACCCCAGAGAGTCTTCACACCCAGGTGGACTCAACCTCCATTCCTAGTGCCCCAAACCAGAAGGGAAATGTTCAGTCTAAGAAAACAGTCTAACAAATGCCTTCTGAGGCTGCGTGGGAAGACCCTGGTTTGCACATAAGGAAGTATTAGACTCCAGTCAAAATCCTGTTTGCTTTCACAAACACTTTTTAGGGCTTCCTAGATAGCATTATTTAGAGTTATTTGCAAATAATTAAATCAGTGTTTTCAACTACCCATATGCATTAGGTAATTGTGCAGAAGCAGCCTGGATTTGGAAATGATGAAGCCAGGATTCAAGCCTAGGCTACCTGGTTACAGGGCTCACACTCTTAATTCCCACAATCTGCCATCTCTGGTATTGTTTGAGCAACCCCTGTGTTCCAGAAATCAGTTGTTGTTCTTTGGGGATAATATAGAATTTAGGTTTAGCCTAGTTCAGCATGCCCACCCTCTGCCCTTGGGTCAGTTTTCTATAGGTAGAAAGAAAGTATTGGCCTGGTTGCCAGGACCCCAGGATCAGGCCTCATGCAGGGCCCCAGAGCCTGTGGACCAGGGAGTGAGCTGGTACCGGAGGAGGCTGGATATGGCTGTGACGAGAGCATTGAGGCTAATTCCACTGTCTGCCAGGGCCAAGCTCAGAACCAGCAGGTGGCTGGGAGTCCGTAGCTCCGGGGTCTTGAAGAAAGACAAGATGGTCAGGCCATTGAGGCTGAGACCTGAGAGAGCTGAAAGGAAGGTGGAGGCTGGCATCAGGGCTTGTCACCTGGGTTCTGAACTAGTGGGTAGAGCCCTCTTCATGCTCAGCAACACTTTCAGCAATATACTGAGGTGGGCTGGCCCTCAGGTACTGTACCCCATGATGCATGACCAACCCTCTACCAACTCAGTCCAATGGGAAAACAGATGAGGAAGACTGTACAGTGTAACATGGTTCACATTGTAATGCTCACAATCACTGACAAACACTGAGCAAGTATCAGTTACCAGGGACTGATAAGCACTTGACATGGATCATCTCATTCAGTCGTCTCTTGGACCCTCTCCTCCCCATATGCAGTTGGGAAACCAGGGCTCAGAGAGGCAAGCTAACATGCCCTAAGTGCACAGTTAGTAAGTGATGGAGCTAGGGCTCCAACTCAGGTTTTTCAGATTCCAAAATGCTTTCTCCAAGGGCTGTGGAGCAATATCTAGGAGAGCCCTGGAGAGGAAAAGCCAAGTTAGAGTTGGGTGCTGCCTAGGACATCAGGAAGGAAGGTAAACTTGAAGGAGGTTTTTTCTCTAGCCACAGAGACTTGATCTTGAATTTCAGCTTGGACCCTTACTTGCTGCCCCTTAAACTTTCTGAACCTCCATCAAAAGAGAGAAACAAGGAAGGATAATACCTTTAAAACTCTGAGAATGTTAACATGGAGGACAGTGCATGGGAGAATATTGTAGAAAAAAGGGAACAGAATGTGCAAAGACATAAAGTGGTAAAATTTCACAGCATTTTGGAGGACCTGAAGGGATGCTAGATTGTAGAGTTCCAAGAAAAGGCAGAAGGGGACTGGGACTACCAGACAATGGTGACTAGTGTGTTTGGGACCAGTCAAGTGGCAGTCAATCTCTCTCCATCATCAGTTCTTATTAGTTGAGAAAATGTGCTAATTACTTCTCTGGATCTGCTTTGAACAGGGCCTGTATTCCTCATCAGCCTAGCTCAAGGTTTGACATGGTCTCTAGCTCACTGAACAGCTCAGGGATTCTGAGGTGAGGCAGGCATTTCATAGACTAAGGTAGCACCTCAGGAAAATGTCTAGGGTTGTGGAAGTAGACACAGAGGAAGTAACAGTGGGGTTAGAGTAGATGGGAAAAAATGAACTGAAATTCCCTGGATGTCTCTTAAGGCTAAAATTTTATACTGATGATCCCATTTAACCACCACAACCATTCATTTGAAATGTCAAGGCTCTGAGGGTTGGAGAACAGAAGTGACTTGGTTCTAACCACATACAGAGGAGATGGCAGAACTGTCTTGCTTCCAGAGCCCTCTGGGGGCCTGCTGTTATATGGGATATGGGATTCTTAGCAGAATTTCCAGGAAGTGGATTACATTTCTTCTGGCTGAAGGGAGAAGAAAAGACTTAATCTTGGTTCTTGGTCATCTCCTGGGAAATTTCCCTCTTTCTAGATCTCTGCTTTCCTGATCCCTGCATGGCTTCTTTCTCTTGGCTCTGGGGCTGTCATAAGAAGATTCCCTGGGTCTAGGCACAGAGGAGAGACAGTCAAGACAACATGATACTCCAGCTGGGATGGGGAACCTCTCCTTGCCAGCTCCATAGCTGTGGCCTGGGTTCTGAGAACCCACTGGGCCCCTGCTCACCCACTGTCCTGCCTGGCTCACCTTCTACCAGCAGCACTGTTCCCACAGCCAGCACCTCCAGCTCTCCGAAGCCAGTTGGCAGGGTCCAGAATGCTGCCATCTTCAGCCTTCCTTCCTGCCAGTGGCCCAGCTCTTTTCTGACTCCCTAAAGGCAGTCTCCTCCCTTTTAAAGGGTTATTCCACATGCCTGGCACATGCAGGCTAGCATTGTGCTAGACCTTGAACTTTTTCTTTCTGCTTTCCCCCTGTAAATCATCCTCTTGGCCCAAGCAGAAGGAAACCATTCACCAGTTGGACAGTGCAGCCTTTGTGAAGCCAGAATAGTCTTGTCTCATTCATTTCAGACCCACTAGGCAGGATTAAGGTCTGGGGATCCAAATGGTGAGTGGCTGAGAGCTGAATTTTAAGAGTTGCATAACCAAGGAGGGGAGTGGAAGGAGGGATTTAAGCTGCAGCTGTTCCTGAGAACTGGATAGGAGCCAAGTCCTTCTATGTGCACAGTTGCTGACAAGCTGAGTGCTCTGTGTGTGTGTGTGTGTGTGTGTGTGTGTGTGTGTGCATGCCATAGGAAGAACCTTGACTGAGAGTCTGTTTCTGAATATGATATTATGTGCTCCTGATTGGGACCATTAGGGTCTTCTCAATTTCCTCCTTTCAACATAAGCATCTTTTGTCTGTGGTGTGTCTTAAGTTCTGGTTAGAATATATCATGGACACAGGCTTCAGGGTTGCACTTCCTGTTTCCTACAGTACCTTTGTGCTATATGGGAGCATTAGAAATCTTCCAGGACATGGACTTGGAACAAACAAGCTGGTGTCTTCTTGCATGTGGTCCCATGACCCACTCACTAAGAGCTTCAGCTTCTACAAATGAGGTCTTAGTGCAAGTCATGCACTGGCTCATGGTGAAATCTACACCAGGAAACACTGATGTATGCAACTTAACTCATTTCCAGATGAAGAAACAGCCTCAGGATGCTAGTAGCAATATGGCTAGTGTCCATTGAGGTCAGACATTGTGCTAAGGGATCTTCTGATGAGTCCTAAAAGGACTCCAGATGAGTAAACTGGACCTAAAAGCAGTTGAGAATCAGATTGAGGTCCCACAGTGATGGGTGGGTGGAGCTGGAACACCCTGCCTCCCATCCTGCAGGTTCAGACACTTCTTTTATTCAGAACTGGGTATCAAACCCAAAGTCTGTTCATGCTAGGTGAATGCTCTACCATTCCAAATGGGCTCTATCCCCAGCTCTCCAGACACTTGTCATTGGCATCCTCTGACTCCCTCTGCCCAAACAATCTATTTTGAGAATAACCTTTTTCTAGGTCCTTCTTATGAGTCCTCATTTATATCTGAAACTGTTCACCCTTCAGGGCCAAGATTATGATCACATCCTCCAGAGCCTTCTCTGCCTTTTCCTGGTTTCTATCTTGCTCATTAATACCTATGTCTATCTATTTTCTGTGCCTGCAAGATTGCAAGAGACTTCATAAGACAAAGCTGAGAATAAAAGGGTAGGCAAAAGACAAAAGAAAGGCATTTCAGACAGAAGGAAAAGAAGCCCTGATGTAGCAACAGGCAAGGCTGGTCTTTTGGTTTGACTGGATTGGAAGAGAAGGAGTTACAGAGTCACCATCTCCTACAAGGCAATATTGTCAAAATAGTCCTGGCACAGAACTAGATACCGTGTTTGTGTGCACAGTTCTTCAGGCAGATGGTCAGACCTCAGTGATCTAGGCCTGCTTAGGCCTCTGGGCATAAAGGACTAGGGAACCTTCTGGAAAAGTCAAAGGACCCAGGCAAATCATGCTAGACCAGACAGTAAAACCTTGGCGTCAAGTATGATGAGTGAATGAGTGAATGAATGAGTCACCTGAATGTCTACTACTTGGTACCATTTTTGGCTCAGTCTCCACTGGTAACTTGAGTGGGTTTGCCAGAATGAGGTTGGGGGAGGGGAGAACAGGTAAAAACTGTCTTCTCTAAGAACTCTGTGAGATACTGCTCTGGGACTTCATTACAGAGGGAGATCCCTATCCTTTTGCAGAGACACCTCTTTCCTTTGGCATTTTGATAATGCCAAGAAGGACCTGGTTGAAACCAACAATGTTCTGAGACTGGGTATCCAGAGGGCATTTGGGAAACAGTCTGATGTTTGCCCAGCAGACTGAGATGGTTTGTGAGCCCATGAGAGCCATCTCTGAGGTCTTCCTGCAATGACATCTTTTTTCAGCTCCTCTATGAGCAGGTACATGTAAAAACCAGCAGAACTGGGTATTTATAACTGATGAGAAAGCGCTTCTGTCCCCTGGAAGTCAAGGCAGGGGAAACTTGGGTTGTTCAATTTTCATCAGTACTCTGGGTTGAGTAACTTTACTTCCTTTTGTCAGACAGAGACAGAGGGCAAAGAGAGGTGATGTAATTCACCCAAGGTCACAACCTGTAAATGAAAGAGCTGAGATTTGAATCGAAGAACCCAGCCCCAGAGTATGGGCTCTGTCTAATGCCTTCACCACCTTTAGGGAGACTTATTCCTTGTTACTGCTTTTTCACTAAGGACACTGTCATAGGAGAGAATTTCCAAAGGTCTTTCTTAGAGGCCAGAGTTCTGTCTTCATCTTCCCCGAGCCCCACCACCTCAATGAGACAGATCTATGTTACCCATGCCTGGTTGATTTGGAGTACTTTGCAGGTGGGCAGCCCAGTCGTTCAGTCTAGTAGCTGCTGGTGGGAAGCTGCCCACCTGCCTTGCCTTGCTACACCCCAGCCTCTTTGGGACTGAGGCTGTTGCTATGGAAGGGGATCCTCCACCCCCTCCACCCCCACCCCCAGGAAGCAATAAGCGGCTGAGTGTTGCAGCTGGGGTTCCCCTCCCTAATCCCCAGCCTGTCCATGTTTATCTGATGGCTTTTCAGGAGTGTGTGTGTGTGGGGGGGGCAGTGAGCCAATGAGCAGCTGCCAGGCTGGCAGGACCGAGCAGTCCAGGGACAGGCCCCTGTCCAGATCAGAAGAGCCAGGAGTCATGTGGCTAGCAGTGGGCATGCTCTGGCTCCTGACCCTTGGGGGGACCCACCAGGCCTGGGGCTCCTGCCCTTCTCAGTGCAGCTGCAGCCTCCACATCCTGGGTGATGGAAGCAAAGCCAGGTATGGCATCGGGGTGTGGGATGGGTTGTTGAGCCCTCGTTGATCTATTGGCTAGGCTGGGTTGGGAGGGGTTGGAATGCTCAGCAGCTTCCCATTTGCTCATTGATCTCCATACCCCAACTCAAAGCCATCAGATAAATAAAGACATACTAGATGCAGGGTCCTCAGACTGAGTGAGACCCCTATCTCCCTGGCCTTGAAATCCAAGGTCCTATGGGGGTGGTCTGCATTGTGTTGTCTTCTAGTAAGCTGGGGGGTTGCTTTATCCAGGAGGTACCAGGTACTTTTACATGGCAGCATCCCAGGTGTGCCTGGTTCCAGAAATCTTCCCTGTGCCCTTTTCCATCATTGTGGTGGAGAGAGGCCTCTTTAGGAAGTTTCCTCCTTACCTCTTTGATTTCCTCTTTGCTTCCTTTCTATATCTCCCAGGCCCCTGTTTCCCTGGTCTCTTCCATTACCTTGATGCATGATGACTGGTATCCATGGGAGACTCAGTCACACCCTAGGGCTTTATACTCACCTCACCCCTGCAACCCATGATGTGACCTCTATCTCCTTAAGCTCTCTCTCCACTTTGGGTCTCCCAGGAACTTCAGCCTCGACTCCTTTCTGTGGGTGTTCTGAAAGACAGGGAGTGCCCATTCCATTGCAAATATGTTTTCTCCAACCTCAGCCTTGTCCTTGACTTTCCTCATCCTCCCTCTGATGCTTTAGAGCAGTCCCATGTTTTCCTTCTCCCTTTCCATGGGACTTTCTCAAGGCCACTGTGGCTTGTGGACTCTCGGTCTTCTGCTGTGGCTCACTTTCTTCCACTCTTTGACAGTCTTTAAACCATCTTTTCTCCAATTTTCTAACCTCTCAATGACCTCTGCACTTCCTAACTGGCAAGGGTTTCAGCCTCTGCTTCAGGCCTTTCCTATCAACTTTCAATCTTCTGGAATTGCATCCTTCTTTTTTTCCTTGTCTTAGATGGGCGCTGAAGAACCACTGATAATCTTTGATCAGGGAACAGTGTTGCAAGAGCTACCCTTTCTGTGATCCTTCCAATGTTGGATTAATTGGAGGAGCAACAGAATGGAGAGAAACCCCCAAGAAATGACATCCTCTATGGCCTGAGGAACAGGAAGAATTATATATTTGGCCCAAGTGCCTGATGTTCTGTTTCCTCTCACTCAGGAAGCCAGGTTGAGCCCTAAGCAGGCTGGGAAATAGCTTGTGGCCAAGGACAGTGTGATCAGGGTGACAAAGAGTCTCCCTGAAAGTCACATGGCATCAATGATGAAACAAATCTCAGAATCCAGGAATTCTGACTCCATTTCCAGAATCTTCGCATCTGGGGATGCTGGCATGTGTAGAGACCAGGGTGAGCACCAGGTAGCAGAGTTGGTCTTTGGATGGAAAGTGGACTTCAATGGGCAGTTTCTAAAGCCCTTAATGTCAGCCAGTAGACTCTCCCTCCTCTAAATCCAGAGCTCTTACACTGGCTACACCTGCCTGACAGTCCCAGGGTTGATGTGCACTAGCCTATCTGCATGGAGTGTCCTATAAGGGGAATGAGGCCATTCCTATACAGGGGATGGGGGTGAGGTGTTGATTCCCAGTGGCAAGGGGCATAGACTGTGCACTTATACCACACCTCCTGCACCTTAGCTGCCTCCCTAAGATCCAGGTCTAATCAGACTTCTCAGAGACCTCACCCTGGCAAACTGCCCTGCCTCATGTTCCTGTATGGTGAACAGACTTTGTATCCCTGTGGGGACTAGGGTTGCTGGGAGGGCTGGTCTGGGCACCTGGATACATTTATCTCCATGTTCTCTGTGCCTGGTTTGTCCCACTAGGAGCTGTGCTGTTGATTTACATAACCCTGTCCTCTTACTGGGCTCTTACTAGTACCCTTTAATTCCTCCCTTGACTGTTTCCTACCTATGTTTTCCCATCAATTCCTTTCGTCCCACCTATATCTAGACCTTCCTTCTTGCTAACACCCCACCTGTATTCTGTCCTGAAGATGTTATTGCCTTCAATGCTCTTTCTTCCTTGCGTAAATTAGAAACTGTAGGAGACAGGGGCTGTGACTTTGATTTTCTTCTGAATTGCCCATCACTTAGTAGGAGTTCTGCTCCTTATCTGAGGAATATGAGTGGATGGGAATACCTGTGCCTTTTGTAGCACCATTTATAAGAAAAAAACAAGGCCAAGCCCAGCTATGCTTGAGTACCATATGTGAGATAAGCTGGCAAATTGATGCTGGTGGAGTGCTTGTCTTAAACCAGGAAGGCCTGATCTGAGTAATGCATGATGAAGTTATGGAGAATGATCTTTTTCAGCAAAGCAAAAGATGGCCACCCCTACTCCTTTCCAGTGTGAGCACTGGCACTGCTTATGCTCCAGATGAGACTGGTGCTGCACAAAGGCTGGGCACCAATGCCCAGCCTTCACACTTTCTGTTTCTGGGGATTGGTCCCTCCCTTTCCAATTTATCTCATATGAGGTGCTAGTCTCACTGATGGCATAAAACACAGCCCTGAGTTGCAGACTTCTTGGGGGCAGGACTGCTTTCTGTCATCTTGATAGCCTCAGCTTTGAACTCAATCATAATAGAACACACCTGTCACTCTTTGGCCAGAAGGAACTTTAAAAGGAGCTGGTAAGACTGCTTTGATCTACCCACAGTGCTGAATTGCAGAAATTTATGACAGTGATCAACAGTGCTGGGCTCTTAGAGGATGATAGGCAGTATATAATCTCATTTAAATCCCATAACTGCCCAGTGAGGTGGAGTCTATTTTTATGGGGAAACTGGGGGAAGAGAGGTTATATAATGTACCTAAGGACACACATCCAGCAAGCAAAGAGCCTAGATATGAATCCAACTGCGTGACTGCTAAGTCCCAACTCTTAGAGACCCTGATCATCTCACAGTCCCTCCCAGTCAGGAGAGATTTGAGGCACTTCCATTTTTTGATGCGCTTGGCATTTAAAAATATACAGGCCCAAACCGGTAAGCCAAAGTGATTTTTAAAACGAAGGCATAATTTAACAAATGAACATATCTAATGCACTATATGTGACAATTACAGGATTTATTTATTAATACTGTTCATCTTAGTGCACTGAAGGCTGTGGGCTATAAAAGAACATAGTTTAGCTGTGAGGTCTTTCAGGACAATGAAGACAAGAGGGTCCTCCTTAGACCCTTGTGAAGGGCTCTGCTCTAAAAGCAAGAAGCCCCAAAAGCATGAGGCTGCTTTTTCTAGGGCCCCCTCTTCAGAGTCCTCTATGGCATGGACACTGAAGTTGGTGTCCTGTCTTAACAGGACTATCTAGGGGCTTCATAAGGGAGGTGGTGAGGGGCGATCCCTGATCTGGCAGGACTCTTGCTCAAATATCTCCCATTTCTGTGACCAGGACCGTGGTTTGCAGTGATCCCGACATGACCCTGCCCCCGGCGTCTATCCCTCCGGACACCTGCAGGCTGTGCCTGGAGCGTACGGCTATCCGGAGGGTGCCAGGCGAGGCCTTCCGGCAGTTGGGTCGCCTGGAGCAGCTGTGGCTGCCCTATAACGCGGTCAGCGAGCTCAGCGCCCTCATGCTGCGGGGCCTGCGGCGTCTGCGCGAGCTGCGGCTGCCCGGGAACCGCTTGGCCGCCTTCCCTTGGGCGGCGCTCCGTGACGCCCCCCAGCTACGACTGCTGGACCTGCAGGCCAACCGTCTGTCCGTGGTGCCGCCGGACGCCGCCCGCTTTCTGGGAAACCTCACCTTCCTGGACCTCTCCAGCAACCAGCTGATGAGGCTGCCGCAGGAGCTGCTCCTCACCTGGGCTCAACTGAAGACCGGGCCCTTCCTTCCCGGCCACCACTCCAGGCTGGTCCTAGGTAAGAGACGGTGTTCTTCACCTGGAACCATCCTGGTGAACCTTGGGGTCTTCAGCAAGTTTCCAAGCTTCTTTGAGTCTGATTCTTTATCTGGAAAATAGAAACCACACCTACTTTTCACGTTTGAGTCAAGATGGAGTGAAATCCACTCCATCCACTTGGCGCTCAAGGACCAAACCAGACTGAACCATTTCACATTCTGCTGTTATGAAAAGGAAACTGAGACACAGCAGGTGTCCCACGTCAGACAACCAGCAGGCAGCTTCCTGACACTCAGTTTCCACCGCGGGGTTGACTTGGTTGGCTCCTAACAAAGCAAAGGCTTCCCAGGTGAGCCAGTTCCCCTTTCCTGCCCAAGGCCCTCACCTGGTCCTGAGGACCCTGAGGATAGCACGTGCGGCATAACCGGAAAATCAATCTGAATTATCTAGCTCATACATGAATATATGTAAACATTTAAAACATAACAGAAAAGACTAATGACCCCTTTGTCTTTTCTTCCTATTCTAAGCCCTTTCCCCTCCTTATCTTTTATAATACATTTTACATAGTCATACAAATATGTACATGTACAAAGAAAAGTCATATGTTACAATTTTTATTGCATCGTATATAGTAATCACCACTAACGTTTTCATTGACTCTATCTTGGAACTCTTTCTAAATTACTGCAAATGGAGTAAGTTCAGTTTTTAAACCATGACACAATATTCCGTAGTAGTTCTCCGCATAGCGTTCCATTCCATCTGCCTTCAGGGAACCTTTACATTGTTTTCATTATTTTGTTAACATCTATGATGTGTCACAGAGAACATTCTCAGCATGTATTCTTCCATATACATTGTTTCTGAAGGACAGAAGAAGTGGAATTGCTGAAGTGTGCATATGAAAGATTTTAGAATCAAGCCCACAGTTTCAAAGGCAGCTGGTATAATTCTCACTCCCCACCACTAGTGTGTGAGATCACTCATTCATGTGGTCACTCAGTGAGTTTTTATGTTTTGATTAATTTATTTATTTTTTTGTTCATTTATTCACATGTGCATACATTGTTTGGGTCATTTCTCCACCCTGCCCCTCCCCCACCCTTCCCCTTTGCCCCCCTTAGTTCCAGGCAGGTCACTCAGTGAGTTTTCTGCAGTACTGAGGGTTGGTTGAACTCAGGGCCTTGCAGGTTATTTTGGAGACAGGGTCTCACTTTCAACCCAGACTGGCCTGGACCATGGTCCTCCTATTTCTCTGCTTAACTGGAATTACAGGCATGCTACTGCAACCAGCTGTGGGTTGAGATGGGGGAGATGTCTTACGAACTTTTTGCCCAGGCTGGTCTGAAATTGCAGTCCTCCCAATCTCTACCTCCCAAGTAGCTGGGATTACAGGCTTGAGCCACTATTCCTGTCTCCCAGTGTATATTTTTGAGCGCCTTCCAATTTTAGGTGCTAGGGATACAGCAGTGACTAAAACAGACAAAAAAGCCTACTCCCTCATGGGACTAACAACTAAAATGGCCAAAATGTTTTAACTACTGCCAATCTGATGGGTGAATGTTTCACTGTTGTTTAACTTTGCCTTTTGCACTAACTTTTGGGACCCTTTTGTAACAAGCAAAAGCCAGGTAGCTCCCCACTAGAGCTGGGGCAGCGATGAATCTTGCATTGCAGATGTGTTATAGAATGCATTTGGCCAGTGACAGAAGGAGCTGGCACCCTCAGTTGTGCTCAAAGGGACCTAACAGTCAAATCTAAACACATTTCTTTCTACAAATATATAGGTAAATGTATCAGAAATCACGGATTATTGTACTCACTATCAAATCTAATAGCAATCTTTGGGTGATGGAAAGGACATCACATTAAATTCTTTCATCTTCTTGTGTTTCAGAAATGTAAACATATAAAAAGGAATTGCACCTTAGAACATGATGCCTCTTCATCTGTGTAAGGTTTTTTGATGGGGTGGGTGCAATGACTTGCTTTTGGTTCTTTAAAAATGTTCAGCTTTAAAGAGGACTGAGGATATATTACAGGATTTTCCAGCCTCCTCCTCCCATTTTGTACCATGGTTTGATCTTATGTCAAAGAGAACCATTGCTGAGAGCAGCCATTCTCATTGTGACGATGCTGAAAGTGCCATTTATACTGGGAAGACTGGGGTCAAAGGTCAGGGGTCAGCAAAGCAGTTTTAGAAATGGATTTTGGCATATTGCAAATTTTTTTCCTGGATAGTGACTTGAAAGGATTCTCCTAAGTATGGCTGCTGTGAATGCATTTTGTCAGTATGCTGTACGGCCTCAGGCATAATGAATTTTTTGTTGGTGGTGGTGGTACTGGGGTTTGAACTCAGTGTCTTACACTTACTAGGCAGGTGCTCTACCTCTTGAGCCACTTCACCAGTCCTCACCATGCTTAATGATATATCTTTATTTAGGCTTCCAGCAACCCTGAAGGGAAGTAAACTTTCATTCAAGATGGAGAACCAGGTTTAAGATAATACAGCAAGGAAAGGAAGTGGGCCTGGAGGCCAGTTCTACTTATTTGGAGCTGAGGACCTGCCTCATCTTACCTGAGGGTAAAAGGAGCTAGGCTAGAGGATCTGAATGTCTAGGACTCACTGTTTACCTTCTCTCACATTCCTTCAGGGCTACAGGACAATTCCTGGGTGTGTGATTGCCGACTCTATGACCTGGTCCATCTTCTGGATAGCTGGGTCCCAAACTTGGTCTTCATTGAAGCCAAACTGAGGTGTGGCAGCCCACGCAGCTTGGCTGGAGTGGCCTTCAGCCAGCTGGAGCTGAGGAAGTGCCAGAGTCCAGAGCTCCATCCGGGAGTGACCAGCATTATATCCCCTGTGGGCAGCACAGTACTACTACGTTGTGGAGCCACCGGTGTCCCTGGGCCTGAGATGAGCTGGCGGAGAGCCAATGGGTGCCCACTCAATGGCACGGGTATGTAAGCTACAGGGACTTCTGCACTGAGCCCCCAGCCTGGGGTGAGTGGATCAGTGTGCCAAGTAGGGAGGGGACAGTGTCAGAGGAAGCAGTTTAAGCCAGACTGGGCTCCTATCTGTCTGAATGGAGTTGGACAGGATCTGCCCAGAGGTGGAGCATAGGGAAAGTGGCTTGAACAATGAGGAAGGCTCTCGACTTGTCCTGTCCCACCAGCCACTGTATTAGAGACTCAGGGCCCATCTTGGAAGGAATAAAAAGCTGATTTTTTGGTAAAAGACACTCTCTTAGTATATTTAATATTTATAGCAAGTTCCCCAGTTGTAAATGTTAAGTCAGTACAATCAAGAGTAATTAATGATGAGAGTTATCATCTGTTGAGCTCTTTTTCTTTTTATTATTATAATTATTGTTGTACTAGGGGTACATGGTGACAAAAGTGCTTACAATATATCTTAGTTAAATTCACCTCCTCCATCATTCTCCTCTATTTCCCCTCCTCCATTCTCAGAATAGTTTCAACAGGTCTCATTTTTCCATTTTCATACATGAGTACATAATATTTCTACCATACTTACCCTCCTATGCCCTTTCCTTATATCTGCTCCCCCCCCTGCCCCTGGTACCAACTCCCAGATAGGAACTGTTTTACCTTCCTGTTCTCCATTTCAAAAAAAAGACTTTTTTGTTTGTTTAAGATATCTATACATGGAGTTTCATTGAGGTCTTCCATGTATGTATGTATTATAACCTGGATTGGTTTGTCCCCCCCATTCATGTGGGCCTATAATTGTGCTAAGTGAATTATACCCTCAAAACCATTGAACTTTAAAGAGCAACCTGAGTAAACCTTTAGTTTACAAACAATTAAGTGGGAACTCTGGAAGGCAAATGCTTGGCTGACATCACACAGTTCATATAAGAAGAAGCTGGGATTCCTAAGCATCTAAGCAGAAAACCTCACATTGCCCCCAGCTTTCATCTGTGTCTCCTTCAACTAGGTTGGTAACTACTGCTCAAGAATAGTGGGTTCTGTAAAGAAGGAAAATGCTCTGATTGAAGCGCTAGAGGCATTGGACAGAGGTGGGCAGGGTACTTCCAGCTGGGCCTTTGTCTCATCTTCACCCTCTGACATGCCTACCCCAATGCACCTGTCTGCTGGCCCTAAGGAGTCACCTCTGCAGGATATCAGAGCCCTGACGAACACACTTTGAATATCTCAGAATTAGAAGGCAGTTATTCTTAGGCTTAGCCTCAGCCTGGAGCACCATGGACTCACCATAATTTGAGCCCAGGTAATCTTCTTGACTAGTTAAGCCAAGGATATACAGCTCTCAAGGCAAGGAGGCTGGCCTTGAATGACCCATTGAGCTGGGCCTTAAATGGCTTGAAAGTTGAATGTCTGCCAGTTTTTTCTCAGGATGACAAGGTATTCTGTACAGTGTGTGGTACAACCCAGAGCTGTGAACTTAGCCAGGAAGGGAGCTTGAGGCAGATGGGCCTATTCATTCTCCCACATCTGCTTCTTCTTCTTCTAGTGCACCAGGAAATCTCCAGCGATGGCTCCAGCTGGACTCTGCTGGACCTGCCTGTGGTGTCTTACCTTGACTCTGGAGACTACATCTGCCAGGCCAAGAACTTCCTGGGAGTCTCAGAGACTCTTATCTCCCTCATCATCACTGAGCCCCAGACTTCCACAGAACACAGTGGGATCCCAGGGGCACTATTGGCAAGGACAGGAAAGGGGGCTGAAGCTGCGGCTTACAACAACAAGCTGGTGGCCAGGCATGTCCCCCATATTCCCAAGCCCCTGTCTTCTGTGCCCAGCATGAAAGAGGAACTGATCCTCCAACACTTGCAGATGGGTGCCCCAGAAGAGTTCTCCGACAAACAAGAGGAACCCCAGGAGGCACAGATGGTGAGATCTCTCAAGGTGGTGGGGGATACTTACCACAGCGTATCCTTGCTGTGGAAGGCCCCTCAGAGTGGGAATGCAACTGCTTTCAGTGTCCTCTATGCAGTCTTTGGGCAGCGTGACATGAGACGGATGATGGTGCAGCCTGGGAAAACCAGCGTCACCATTGATGGGCTGGCGCCGAGGACCAAATATGTGGCCTGCGTCTGTGCGCGGGGCCTGGTGCCGCGGAAGGAGCAGTGTGTCATCTTCTCCACCGACGAGGTAGTGGACGCCGAGGGCACCCAGAGGCTCATCAACATGGTGGTGATCAGCGTTGCGGCCGTCATCGCTCTGCCTCCCACATTGCTGGTCTGCTGTGGGGCTCTCCGCCGGCGTTGGCGCAAATGCCGAGCCCAGGGCTCTGCTGAGGCGGCAGGCGCTTATGTCCACCTGGAGAGGCTGCGCCACAGTGAGGATGGTTCAGAAGAGCTGTCCCGCAGCAGCCTCAGTGAGGCCGAGAGACTGCTCTCAGCCCGCTCCAGCCTGGACTTTCAGGCCTTGGGGGTCAGGGGCGGTAGGCGCATTAATGAGTACTTCTGCTGAGGCCGGGTCCCCTCCGGCACCTGCCAGGTCCACTCTCCCTCTTCAAGCTCACACACTCACTCTGACATCTGACCATGTGCTCAACTACTCTAATCAATCAGGCACATGTTTACTCATACACTTTGCATGACCACAGCTAATACTTATTAAGTACTTACAGTGTACCGGGAAGTGTTCTAAGTGCTTTATATGCATTACAACAATCTTTGGGAGCAGGCACCACTATTCTCTCCATTTTCTTGGAAAAGAAACAGGGAGGTTAAGGAAGTTGCTTGTTACCAGTCAATTTTTGCTGTGGAACAGATAAAAGTAAAAGCGCAATGTTATGCAGCAATGGGCACTTATTTTTCACACTCATAGGTCTGCAGGTTGAGTGGGGTGGGTCTGCCCTGTGTGTCTCATTTGAAGCCTGTGTTGGATAGTAACAATGGCTAAGTGGGGCAGGCTTCTCTCATGGTGAAGTCAGATGACATCTAAAGAATAATCAAAATCATGTCACATCATGTATGATCTTAGTTTGAATTTGGCACACTGCCATATTTGCTCATATTCTGTCTGCCAAAAAGTATCATGGCCGAACCCAATTTTAACAGAGTAAGTAAGGACACTGCTCCTTATGTAAGTGAGGATGGGGCAGGAAATATTTGCTGAACAGTAATCGGATTTGCTATGTTGTTCTGGAATTTGGACCAGGAAGTTGGGCTCCACTGGCAATAGTCCTTACCACCCTCCTGCACTGCATCTTGATTACATTTATGCCAACTTTTGACACACATAGAGTCTCTCTGTACATTAGCTGTATTTGTAGACATGCACACACATTGCTCATCCACACAGTGCCCTCACTGAATTCTAATATTTATTCTCTGGATGCTATTCTGCCTAGAGCTAATCATTTCATTTTTCAATAAATTCCACAGATTTGGATGATGCCCAAGAGCCCACTCTCATTCATTCTCTGCATGCCAGGCTAGAGAGAGCTGAGACACCTTCTGTGACAGAAGGCACTGTCCCACTCAGTGCTGCCTGGCACCCAGCTCTCCTTTGCTCCATGTAACTGCTTTTGTGATTCTTGCTGAAACTTACCTGGGTTTCTGAGAATGTCTTAGAGCCTTCCTTGCCAGTCAACAGGCCACTTTAGAGGATTCTTGTTCAGTTTTGCCTAAAGCTGAGAAACCATTGAGATGTTGTCTCTGTGCCCAGAAGAAAGTGAATGTTTCTAATAACATGAAGGCTCCATTTACTCCTTTTCTACAGAGCTAAGCTCTAGTGAAGGGACATCCACGGTACCTGGTATCAAGTGTTTTGGGTATCAACTGAGGACATTTGGGGCAGCAAGAGATCCGAAAGAATTATTCTGTTAGTAACATGCAAGAGACTCGATGTCATGTCAACATTTACTAGATATAAATCTCCCTCATGTTTAAAGACCTCACAAAATATTTCTGCCAGTTTTCTCACATTTGATGCTCATGACCACCCACTATGGAAGTTGGGCTTTTTAATCTTACAGATGAGAAAACTGAGAACCAAAGTGTTGAATGATTTATATGGAGGAATGACAGATTATCTTTTTGAATTCTGGTCTGACAACTTTCTGGCCAGGCTGAAAGTCTTTATTTAGTATTGATCTCTGCAATGTGGTCCACAGCAGATTTGCTATGAAAAATGAACTTTTTGGAGGACTGAAATCTGGTATCAGAATAATTAAGTAGACCTGTGCACATAAGCAAAATTGGATTTTTTTTTTGCCATAGCCTGGAGGGAGCATTTGATTATGTCTTGTGGCCACTGTTGTTGGTAAGAGAAACTATTTGGTTGGACAATGACAAAGACACTATCTACATAAGGGGCCAACAAAATTTTTCTGTAAAATGTTGTAAGCTGTGTCACTACTGTTCCACTCTACTGATGGAATGTAAATTCATCCATAGATGATACGTGAATTAATGGACATGTATATGAGTCAATAAAATGTTATTTACAAAAAAGATGACAAGCTGGATTTGACCCATAAGCTGTAGTTTGCTAACCCATTATCAATATATATAAACATTTATATATAATTATAACTATACATATTTATATATTATTTATATATTTCTGTCTTGAGACTTGCTTCTGATTTTTTGATACAGGAGAGTGATGGACAAATATAAGTGCAACAGATGGTAACAGCCACTTGTTGAAATAATCAAGATGTTTTCTTTAAATGATTGAGTCAATCAAGATTGAACAATTACTGACCCAAAGACACTTAACGCATAGCCAGTTTTATTGAAGTTTGAATAAAAATCAGGAACTTGTAAGCAAAAGTTTGTTAGTATATCCAATATTGATTGTGAAAGAGAGAATGAGAAGACTGAGGGAAAATGGGAGAGCAGGGGGAGAGAGAGAGCGAGAGAGGAAGAGAGAGAGAGGAGGAGGAAAAGAAGGAAGAGAAGGTTCACACTTTTCAGTGTTTCAGTAGGGCCTATCTCATGGTGTGGATGGTCATTGTCTCCAAGATGGCTAGCCCACACACACATCATTCACCCTTCCATTAGTGTTCTGTCTTCCTTGATTGTGCTCAAGAGTATTTACGTCATTCAAAAACATACCATGGTAGAATACAAATGGTGTCTAGTTAGTATGAATCACTCCCTGAATATCTATTACCTCTGAGTATCTTGGAAAATGAATTGCAGGTCTCCCTGTCTGGACTATGGTGACCCTATGGCGTGGTGACCCTTGGAAGCCTAGTTTAAAGGTTGATTGGAATTGTGGCATTTCCATCATGTCTTTTCCTGATTACAGTGGAAGGTATATCCAAAGTTATTTATTTTCACTTGCATTGTCTAAGTTGCAGGGTACAAAAAGGCAAATAACAGAAAATGTGTTCCGGAAAGTAGATGTGGGCTATCAAACTAGGCTATCAATCAAGGGACCCACTGATGGTTTGTTCAGAGGACTGGAACAGAAATTTTTGTTTTTCAATTATCATATAATCTAGTGAACACGTGCATCAATTTGCAAGCACGAGTATATTTTATTTATTTGCAAGAGCATTGTAGGCAGGATAGGTTAGGCGTGGTAGAGAACCCCAAATATCAGTGGCTAAACACCTAATTTTACAGAAGCTACTCAAGGGAGTGGAAAATGTGTATGAAGGGAGCTCTCTGCTTCATTTATTTACTTGAGGACCAGGCTAACAGTGGCTCCACTCTCTGAGTATCAGTAGTTGCCCCAGCAAGGAAAAAAAGAAACTAGAGAATGATGTAGGGAGTTTTCAAACATCATTTCCTATAACATTTCATTATGTATAAGATGAGTCACATGGCTCATGTATTTCAAAGGGGGTTGAAACTGGGTGCTGGTGGCTCACACCTATAATCCTAGCTACTCAAGAGGCAGAGATCAGGAGGATCACAGTTCAAAGCCAGCCCAGGTGGCTTTGATAGCCAGCCCAAGATAGTTCCCAGACTTTATTTTGAAAAAAACCCATCACACAAAAGGGCAGGTGGTGTGGCTCAAGGTGTAGACCCTGAGTTCAAACCCCAATATTGCAAAAAACAAACAAAAAACCAAAGGGAATTGGAAATGTGATCTTTTATGTGCCTACCACAGGCACAAAGAGTATGGATGGAAAAAGGACCATCTCAGATATGGTTGATCACAGATGGACAGAGTAGGAAAGAACTCTAGCTTGAGAAAAAGGAGTGGCAGTGTGTTCTCTGATAGGTTGTCCAGTTCCTTATCTGGGCTACATGAAAGTTTTGCTAATATTGGCAAATGAGTATCATTTTCTGATTGAACTGATAGGATATTCTCTTATCAAGAGTCTATTAAGGTAAGCCAAGGGGCTTCCTCCCAGAAGCCATTAATATCTATTTCATAAGCACAGAGTAATTTGTCTCCCATGATGATTTCTTCTGAGAGCTCTAAGAGACAAATTCCTAAAAGCATCCTGCAGATTGGGTTGAAATAGAATCAATACTCCCTTTATTGTTAAGGTCTCTTTAGTTTAGTAACATTTAGCCACAAGTTATTTTACCTAAATTACATGACCCCAACTAGCATTAATTGTCCTCGTCCCTTTCCCTGACTCCTACCATAGCTGCTCCCTACACCCCTATGCTAAATAAGGAAACCAAAAGGTGAGGCAGTCCAGAGAGGAGGGGAAGAGAAGAAGTGGTCTAGATGATTCCAGAGACGGCATGCCAGTGGGTGTTCTTCATCAACTTGTAGCCAACTTCTGGAATATGTGAAAAGGTTAGCATGGAATGAGCAGAGATGGAATCATAGGAGAACAAGAAGATTCTTTGAGATTTTATTTTTGGTGTTAAGAGGAGAGAAAGTTATTCACTAGCGGTTTTGCATACCCATAGTTATGTATTTCCATGAAGCAAGCTTTTTTTTGTTTTTATTTATTTATTTATTTTATTATTCATATGTGCATACAAGGCTTGGGTCATTTCTCCCCCCAGCCCCCACCCCCTCCCTTACCACCCACTCCGCCCCCCCTCCTCCCCCCTCAATACCCAGCAGAAACTATTTCATGAAGCAAGGTTGATGAAGCGTTGGCAAACCTGTCAGATGACTCTGGAGCAAAAATTGCTCATCAGAGTTGAACCCGTTGGCCACAATGACTAGGCTCTGATGCCTTCACCACCTGTCACTTGGTGTGGGCTGCTTTGGGAAGGGCATGAGCCTGTGCAAGCACTCCTGACAGCTAAGCATCTACTTATCTCTTGAAAGATGGTCAAGACAACAGTCTCCATATCTGCCACAACTTTGTGCCTGTAGCACACTCCTTGTTTTTGATTTTTACCTGGAGAGGATCTGTAAGATGTACCCAGATTGTAAAGTTAGGCTGCCTGGGAACTCCAGCAAATATATCTGACATGAGTGGAAATCCTGGATTGTAATCAGCTTAGTTTGTGACCCATTTTCCCTTTACTGGTTAACTACTAAGCGGATTTTTTTTCACTGAAGACTTTTGTAGGGTATAAGGTATGTCATGAGTCTTACAAGAATCCATGGAATTTCAATATTCATCTGAAGTGCACCAGCTAATAGAGAAGTTGGTATTTTTGTCCTTTAAGATTCTGTTGCTACAGGAGGTAAATTACTGTACATCTATTGTATGCTAGGTGCTTTATTTTAAATAATCTGAAAATTCCCTAGAAGCACTGTGAGTTATTTACTAATATTCTCACTAGAGAAGAAAGTGAGACCCATGGAGGTTAAATGACATTTCCCCCAGCCTCAAAATTCAGGAACACGAGCAAGAGAGAAGACTTTATGGGACAAGGTATATGACAATTTGCTTGCCACTTCATTCCTTGCACCTAGCAGGTATGTGGCTGAGAGAAGATGACCAAAAATATTTGCTGAATGGTTGAAGAGTGGCAGAGCAATATCATATCATACATACCACTTAAAAGTGTAGGTATTTGATTTTATGATGTGAAAAACATAGCACTTAGGAAAACTAAAGGAAAAGGTCTAACACTGCTCTACATCCCTGGCACCCAAAGCCTTGGTTTTATAAGAAAATGTCATTCTGTGTTTGAAACTGCACCACTGGTGCTTCTCTGAGTCTGGCCATCCAGGCTGCAGTTGCAGTTGTTTTGGTGTGTCTAATTACATCACCAAAGGTGTTGGGGAGAGAACAAGTGATAGGAATGATCACAGAATTACTTTGTTACTCATCTCCTGTCACTTCAAGAAAATGGTTAGGAATTTTGGGTTTCAGAAATCATTTGAGAACTATGAACTATTAACTGGATTCCGGTCAAATTTCATGAACTGTGGTGCTCAGAATAGTGTTACCTGTTTATCTCAGACTTCTTTGTAAGAGGTTGAAGGAAGGTAGAACCAGGATAGAACTGAGTATCTGACTTAGAGTTCACCTTTCAGACTCAAGAACCAGAAAAATGTTCTTTTTCTGACTGTAGTTAAGAGACATAGTTCCCTGTGCATGGGTTCTGCCAGAGTCTATGGTCTGAGCCATAGCAGACCTCAGAGAATCCAGGGTCTTTGTTCATAATGTGCTGACCTACATCACCACGGATTACCAGTAATAGGATTTGTCACTAGGAAACTGGGACTATACCTATGCAAAACACACAAAGTAGCCTCTTACAGAGAAATATGGCTTTAGTTTTTCATGATTTATTACCAGTTCTTGTCTTTTTGGATATACACGCAGCTCAGGCTTTCTGCCTGCCAGGATGTACCTGCTCGGAGGAGAATGTTGGCAGGTGCGCTATGCTACCAGGATAACAGAGGGCTACAGGGAATGGGCTTTCTTTAGGGCTGATATAGGCATACACAGGCCTAGAATTGGCAGGAAATCAGATAAATCTCCAAGAGACTCATTTTAGTTAGTGCTGGACTTTGGTGAACTGAGAATTTTTACCAAAACAGGTCTCCTATTTCATCTAACTCACATATCTAATGCCAGGATTCACCTGATATCACATCCAAGTTCCCTAATGTTCATCTTAAAGCTTTTCTGGTTTTTTGTACAGGACTCTGCAGTGCATGTCTGTCCCTTTGGGAAAACTTCCAGGGAACCTTCCTGAAGAGCTCAAGCAAGTGAGAATTGAAAACTCACCCCTATTTGAACTTCCCCGAGGATCTTTCATCAACATGAGCACCTTGGAATACCTTTGGCTCAACTTTAACAATGTCACTGTGATCCACCCAGGAGCACTGGACCATGTGCCAAAACTAAGAGAGCTGAGACTGGAGGGAAACAAACTCTGTTCAGTACCATGGACAGCATTCCGGGCCACCCCTTTCCTGAGGGTTTTGGATCTCAGACACAACAGGATTGACATACTTCCTGAGCTGGCTCTTCAATTCCTGGCTAAACTGACCTACCTTGACTTATCCTCCAATAGGCTTACAGTTGTATCCAAGAGTGTCTTCTTGAACTGGCTGGCCTACCAAAAATGCCAGCAGCCTGGCTGTGGGGCTGAGGTGCTCTCCAGCATGGTGCTGGCACTGCACAACAACCCTTGGGTATGTGACTGCCGTCTTGGAGGGCTTGTCCAGTTTGTCAAGTCCATTACCTTCCCAGTCATCCTGGTGAATTCCTACCTGATATGCCAGAGCCCTTCCTCCAAGGCTGGGAAGCTTTTTCATGAGATTGAGCTCAGGGCTTGCATGAAACCACAGATCTCAACACCCAGTGTCAATGTCACCATCCAGGTAGGACAGAAGGTGACTCTGCGATGCTTGTCACAGGCCAGTCCCTCACCAACCATTGCATGGATGTATCCCCTCAGCACATGGAGAGAATTTGATGGTAAGCCGCATGTGCCCTCTCAGCATACCTGAGGGGAAGGCAGAGGTCTATAGCAATCCTACCTCATTTGGGAGGTACTAAACTGTGTCTGTCATAAAGGATGGATGCAGGTAAGATTGGAATGGGCATGAATTAACACCCCAGAACAGACAAGATTCCAAGATAATGTTCCACTATTAGCATTGCTTTAAATGGTTGTACACAGATCTCTCTAGGACATATATACATATGTAAATACATATACTAGAGTTGATTTAACATATTATAGAAATGCTATAGAATTGTATATGAACAAAATATTTTCTTTGAGAGCCTTCTAGGTGAGAAACGCTATAGTGAGTTAATTCTAGAGAGTATCTATTATTTATTTCCTAAACTTGTCTGAGCAGAATTACTTGGGTGCTTATTTAAAATAAGACCTCAGAGCCCTGCTCTGGAGACTGGAATTCAGAGTTCAGAGCTAAGGATATATATTTTAGCAAGTGTTCCTCATCCCCTCACTCCTTTGATCCCAGTTAATTCTTACCATCTGAAAAGAATGGGAAGTCAAATATATTGACTGAACTTTCACTTCCAATCAGACCTTATTACCTTGAAACTATGCTCCTAGAGCTTTGGGAAAGGAAGTGACCTCTATGGACCCCAGAACTGGGGTCCAAACCTGCTTCTTTCCTGGAACTCTGTGATCTCTTTTCACACCTCAACTGGAAACTCTTGTAGTGTTGGGAATTTCACAAAGACAGGCATGGCCTCTCCAGGAGTATCTTGAACATGGAAGGACATTTGTAGATTCCTGCATCTTCCTCTGTTTACAAGAAAACTTAAAATATTATGGTCAAATTTGGGAAATGCATCTAGTCACCCACATACTTGGTGACAAACATCCAGATGGTTAAAAATACCCAGTGAATTGAATTTTTCATTTCTTCCCATCATTTTGATCATACCTTGTTGGCTGCAGATTAAATGCCCATGGAGGAGAGATACAGTCTCTGAAGACCAGGAAATGCATCTAGAGGTTGTCTTTGTGATGTTATATAATCACTCTTAGCATAATGTTATATATAGTCTCCCAGAAATACTAACAGTTCAGACTTCATGAACACTTGCTATCAAACTAGTGGGGTGAATGCTACTATCATCCCAAGAGAATTTAGGCACCTTTCCAGGACTATGTATTTAGTAAGATAAAGGAACCCATAAATTTGGCTCTAGGGTCTGAGGTACTACACATTCAGGTGGTAAGAAAGCCTTCTTGGGGCTCACAATATCACTCATTCACACAATTGTGAGAAATCTCCTGAAAGTCATGGTGTTAGGCTCAGCAAGACCAAGGTGTTTGGTGGGAGCAGCTACAGATGTTGAAAGACTGTGGTATTTATGGTCAGAAGAACCAGGTTCCAGATCAAGTGCTGTTTCCAAACAACTCTCACTGTGGGAAAGGTGAAGGATTGTTCTAATCTTCAACATCTTATATAAAAATTGCATACTTACCTTACAGGGTTTCTGGGAAGAAAACACCTGGCACCAAATACATGTTTAATAAATCATTATCATCACTTTTTGACACAAGCTGTCATTGATGGGACTTTCCAAATGCTTATCAGAGAAATGCACAGAACCGTTTTGCTCTTCTTTCCATCCAGTGTTGACCTCTTCTACCGCAGAAGATGCTGTTCTATCTCAGCTTGTCATCCCTACTGCTCACCTCGTAGACAGCGGTAATTACACCTGCATGGCCTCCAATTCTATTGGTAGGAGCACCCTTATCATCTCCCTCCACGTCCAGCCTATCCAGGCCCTGCCTGCACCCAATTCTCTTTCCGTCTCCTTGGAGGGTAATGCCTATGTTGACCTGCGGGTGGTCAAGCAGACAGTACGTGGGATCTTGCTGGAGTGGCTTGCAGTAGCCAACACCCCTGAGGAGCAGTGGTTCACCCTCTACATTGCATCTGAGGAAGCCCTCAGGAAGGAGGTGGTCCACATTGGCCCAGGAATCAATACATATGCTGTGGATGATCTCCTGCCTAGCACAAAATATGAGGCATGTCTCAGCCTAGGCAGACAATCTCCGCACCAGGGCCAGTGTGTGGTTTTTGTGACAGGCAGAGACAGTAGTGGGTTGGATGGTCGCGAACGCCTCCTGCATGTCACAGTGGTCCTCTGTGCTGTGCTCCTGGCAGTGCCTGTGGGTGCTTATATCTGGGCAGCCCAGGGTCCATGCAGCTACAGTGAGTGGGGCCTGCACTGCTGTCCTCATCACAGGAAAGCTCCCAGGTGTCCCTGGGCAGTCCCACAATGCAAGGAAAGCACCTTTAGAGATCATCCAGCTGTCTGTGAGGATGGTGAAGGGCACAGAGTCATGGAGGGGGATGAGAAGAGAGAAAATTAAAATAGCATCCAATAACCCAGGCCATGAGGTAGAAACGGTGTGGCCTCCAACTAACCCTCCATGGCAGCTCAACTTGGCTTCATCCATTTATTCAACAAGTACTCATTGTACTACTGTATTCCAGATATAGAACCTGACAGAGGGGTTTCAACAGTGAAAAGGGACACAGTTCTTAACTTCATGGAGCTAAGGCTAATGGAGCTTTGCCCTAACAAACTGATCATGTTTACATGTAACATTTGTGTGTAACATTTCACATATATTATCCTTTAAAGGAAGGCAAAATACTCCTTTTATAGTAGAAGAAACTTAAGCTGTGAAAATTCAATTACTTGTTCAACATCACCCATCTGGCAGGCAGCAAGCCACCACTCGATCCCACTAATTCCATCATTTTCTCAATGGGGGCGGAGGTTGACCTTCCTCACTGTGGTCACTGTGCTCACTGAATATCAGGACTTGTTGATAATATTGGTGGAAATAAAAATTTTAAATTGAAGACAGCACTCATATTCAGGCCAGTTGTTACCTCATTCCTTTGGGTTCTTATTTATTTTCTCCTAGGCACTAGAAGAAAAACCTTTTTAATGAAATTTCCAGTCATACCTAAGATAGAGAGAATCACATTCCTTCTCTTCTGTCAGCTTTAGCAAATTCTAACATTTTCCAGTCTTATTCATCTGGTCCTTGCCCTCAACTTTTTTTGTATTTTAAAGAAAGCACAAAGCCTTTCACCAATTTACCTATAAATATTTTACTTTGATCTCTTACAGATGAAGAAGTTTTAAAAAACATAATCATAAAGTTATTATCATTCTAAAGAACATATATTTTAAAATTATATGTACATATATTTAGATGTGCACATATGTATAACAACACACAAATGTATGTAATACAGTATTTTTTTGTGAGGAATTTCCTGTGGTAAATATTTGAAGACAAGTGGTTACAGTGCATGAGAATTATACTTCTAGAGGCCTCTCTGCATTTCCTTCCATAGGATAAAGGGAGCAGATGTATGGGTATAGCTATCACAAAGTGGCCTGGTGCCACCATAAAGTGGGAGTGGAAATTGTGAAGGAGGTTGGTGATAGGCATGGGACAGAGAGGGGAAGAAGGGAGGAAGGGCTGTGGAAGAGGAGCAAGCCTAGCAGTAAGAGTAGGGAGCAGGGCAGTGTTCACTGTTCCTCTAAATATGGAAATTTAGGGAGGAAAATGTGGTCAGGAGGATTTCTCAGAATCCGAGGCCTTTTAAAACCCTTGGGATTTCCCTTGAAAAAATCCTAAAGATTTATATTAGAAATTATCCTGGATTTATGATGGTTTTATTTAAGAAATTTTTTGGGGGGTGACACTGGGGTTTGAACTCAGGGCCTTGCAATTTTTAGGCAAGTGCATTACCTCTTGAACCATACCCCCAGCCTTCTTTTCTTCTTTCTTTTAAAGTCTGTCTACCTGACACCTAGAGAAGGTCCAGCATAGATGATAGACTCACAACACGTGTCAGCACTGGAATGACTGCATTAATTATTGAGTAATAACAAGCAACTGAACTTCATTAGCCAATGAGATGCATTTGCATGATTTCATAATGTCACACAGATATCCCCAACACTCTATTAATCAAAGTGTGGTAGCTGAAACCATAACTACTTCATTCTGGAAATTAGGCCATTTGGAGGATCTCTTCCCCCTTAGTTTTTTGTGAGTCTTCCATGGAGACCTCCCTATGTCCACTCATCCTGTCTTGGTCCTCATGAATCATCTTCTTTATTATCCCTGTCCATCTTTCCATGGCCTGGGCCCTTGATAATCACCAGACAAGCTCACCACTTACCAACAGGTGCCACACTGGCCCTGGATTCTCTCAAAGCTTCCATTGTGCTAGGCATAGTAGCATATGCCTATGGTCTCAGTTACTCAGGCTGAAGCAGGAGGATCACTTGAGCTCATGAGCTCAAGACCAACCCAGGCAGCATAACAAGACGCCGTCTCAACAATGAAACAACAAAGAGCCAGGTGCCTGTGACTCACGCCTGTAATCCTAGCTACTTGGGAGACAGGGGTCAGGAGGATTATGGTTTGAAACCTGCCTGGGGAAATAGTGAGACCCTATCTCGAAAAAAATCCAACACAGAACAGGGCTGGTGGAGTGGCTGCCTAGCAAGCATGAGATCCTGAGTCAAACCCCAGTACTGCCAAAAAAAAAAAAAAAATCCATTGCTCAAAGAGCCAGTATCTGAAGCAGGAGATGTGAGTTCCTCCCCAGCTCTTACCACATTTCCTCAGTTGTGCTCTGAGGCAGAGCTGTCAGGACAGGGTCTCACCGGTTCTCTTGGGGATATCTCATGTATTCCTTACTCCCTTGTGGGGAAGATGCCCAAACCCAGGCTAAAGGCTTTGCAGGTCACAGATGCTATGGTGCCAAGCCTTCTCTATTTCCTTCTATCTGTTCTCCTCTCTTCTCCAAGTACAAAAGAAACCAGGACCATCAGTAGGTGGGAATATCCTAGGGTGAGACTGCTTGAGAGGGTTCTTTCCTCCTGGACATATGCTCTTATATGTGGGCCAATCATCTTCACATACCCTCTTGTACCTAAGTAACAATTGCCTACTGAGCTCCTATCTGTAGCTACAAAGCCAGCTCTAAGTGTTTTGCATATATTAGTTCCTGTCATTTTCACAGCAGCAAGTCTTCACACCCTGAATCGATGAGGCCCAGAATGCCTTGGTTTCTTGCCAAAGTCACACATAAATGATAAAACTTGAATTCAGATCTAGGGCTCCCAAGCTATAAAATCACTTCATTATTTCATATGATTAGAAAGTCTGAGCTCAGCCACAGGGAAGGAAAAAATGACTGAAGATCTCTTTGAGTCACAACTATTGATTGTCCATGGCTAATTCTCCATTCTCGGGGCCCAGGAAGGAGAGGCCATGCCCAGCTGCAGTTCCTGTCTCCCAACTCCTTACATGGAGGTCTAACATTGTGCCACCATGTAGGTTTGGACCTGTCCCAGTGTGATGGAACAGGAAGCCCCTTACTCTGCCATTCCCTAATGAAGCAGGACTTGGCTGATTCTACCCCACTGGCCATGTCTCTTCCAGTGCTGATTACATTTTCTGGTCTCTTTGGTTTGTGCTGGCTACGAGGTCCTTTCCCTTCCATGGTCAATTGCTAAGACTGGCTCTGCTTTGGTTCAAGCTCCTAGGCTTGTACAGGGGCCCAACCTTCTCTCAAGGCCCATAAGCTGGCCTGAGATTCCAGCCATCAGTGCTCACAACCACAGTTCCAGAGAGAACACTGCTTCTTCTGCTCTCAGGTCCATGCCAAGTTTCCCAACTCCTGCTTCTGCTGGGTTTCACTGGGGTAATTAGTTCTTGCTCCAGACCCCTTCCTACCTGAACAGTCCTGCCTGGGGTTGTTCTGCTTGGGAATAAAGCCCCATCCAAGTCCAGGATGGGTCAAGGTTAGGTAGACAAGTCTGCAAATGTGCTGCTGTTTGAAGTGCAGGCAGGTGATTTGATCAAAATTTTGCAGCCTCTAAAAAAGTAACATCTGGGAGTTAGGGAGAAAGACACCTGCCAAAGGAGCCATGGGTCAGGAAGACTGATCTCCACAAGTCAGAAAACACAAATGTAAGTAGGGAGCAGGAAATCGGCTTGCCCTTTGGTTAATAGATTTTATTTAGCATTTACAAAAGAGGTTGATTGCATGCATGTTGTAAGGATTCTGTATTCCCTGTGGAGGGCAAACCTTATCCAGCCCAGCCCTCTCTTGAAACATGAACCGGAAAATACCAATTGGTTCCTGGCATGCTAGAGCTCACCCCTTAATACTGCCAGGTTGGGAACTGCCGACACCCTGACAAGGACTCTGCACACTGGCACATCTGGGTAACATCCCAAAACACTGACTTGGACATCAAGAAAACCACATGTGCATTCAACCTGTTCACAAAAAATCACCAATGTATTCTAGAGGGCTTATTAGCTAGTTGAACAAAATACAAAAAATGATTGGGCTTTTCTTTCTCTGTGTTCATGTCTAGATTTCCTTCTAGAAGGCTGCTTAAAGCAGAGCAGAACCTCTATGTATTAACCAGAGTGACCTTGCAAGATGTCTCTCCTTGGAGAAACTGTCACACACTGACAAGGTGTGCTACAGCTAGAGGACAATGCCGAGGACCAGAAGCCCTGAGACCAGATCTCTGCTTCCAACTCACTGTGTGGCATTGGGCCAATTGCTCCTCTCTTGGAAATGCATTTCTTTTATCTCAGGCAAAACAGAGGCTTGGACTGAATGTTGCTGCCCAGCTCTGGTGCTCTCTGACAGTAGTATGAGGTGAGAAGAGAATGGAAGGGAAGTATGTGAGTCAGGACAAAGCCATCCTTAGACTCTGGCTGTCTGGGACCAGTGTCTGTCCCCAAATCCAGCTAAGCACCTTCTGGGGACACTCAGCAGAGTAGCTATGAGGCTCTAATACTTTCTGGAAGAACTGCACTCAGAGAACTGGCCTATAGAAAAATACTTTGCATTCCTGTCCCTTTGCACTTGATTAAAGCCCTCAGCACGACTAATTTCTTGAACATAAGTTCTTCATTTTTCAGACAAGGAAGAAGGTGATCAGGAATTTTGAACAGTTTGCCTAAGGTTACATGATATGAGCAGACGATCTGGATAAAAACGGGTCTCCCCAGATCAGTTTCCCTGATATCTGCCTACCACCCTGTACTATTTCTTCAAGACAGGGAGCAGTTCCTTGGACAGGGAGCAGTTCCTCAGAGAGGGGCATTGACACTCTTCCAGTTGCTTCTAGATCACTGTGGCCCCATTTTCTGGGTTCAGAACAGTCCTAGCTGGTGACATCATCTGTCCTCACTCTTGGCAAAGCCATCTTATACCTCTGTGTTCCTGGGCATAGCAGAGGCTGGATATCTCACCCAGAAGCCAAACTCCATTGTTCCAATGGCTTCAGGCATAGCCCTGCAGTCAGCATGAGTTTTTAGAACATCTTGGCCCTCCTCTTGTCTACGTTTGCTCTTCCATGGCTTACCTCCAATTCCTGTACCTGCTCTTAGGTGTAGGTTTTAGAGTCCAGATTCTTGTTGGCTTTGTCACATGTGACCAGGGCCCTGTTCCTTGACTACGGATGATGAAATATCAGTGGCACTTAAGCAACTGTGAAGTTGGGTTTGCTGAGTACAAGGTGCATAACATGGATGTTGTTACTTCCCAGCCTCTGAAGAATGGTTAAATATTGTAACTGTGTCAAAGATTTGGGTAATGGGATGATTTTACTAATTGCAATCCATAGCCCAAGAAATCCCTGTGTACAGTCCTGTATATGGGGGCTACATCATTGTACAAAACAGGGGTGACCTTGAAGAGCAGAGGGTAGGGAGCAGTAGGGTGGCCTGTTTTGGGGGGAAGGAAAGAAAGGGGCCACAGACATACTCTAGAAGTATGCCTTGTTGTCTATATTCTTCTTCTCAAACTTTTGCTTGAGCTCAGAGACCAAAGTAGACTGGACAGGGCTTCCCAAGGCCTTGGGTTTGGGTGACTTTTGGGGTTGCTGAGGGGTGATGGATCCAGAAACTGTAGGCACTGTCCAGTGGGCAGCCATACTGGGTGCCATTCTGGGGGGTGGTGGGAGAGCTGGAGCTCTTGGGGGCAGTGAGCTTCCTGCACTGCTGTTGTTGAAGTTCTCATTGGGAAGATCCTCTTTGAGAATGAACTTTGTAGCAGCCTTGGCCTTCCTGAATTTGAGCCATTCAATGCGGACTGTGCGGGGTGCAGGACTGGGCCGTCTTCGGAGCACACGACGCACAGGCAGGACCTTGTTGGACTTCTTGTTGCGCCAGAAGGTGGCAGTAGAGATGAGAACAGTTATGGCCACAACAATGGCCATGATGCCGGCCAGCACACCCATAGCCTTCATGGGATTGTCCTTGGTCTGAATCAGGAAGGCAGACATGGAATCTTGGGACAGCGTCTGGAAGAAAGAGCCATCCCCTGCATTCAACCGTTCCCTCTTAATCCCCAGAGGACAGAGCAGAGGTGTGAGCTTCCTTAAGCCTGAGAGGTTTTAAACACTTTGCTATCAGGTACCCCTTTCAGATAAGCATTCTGGGCTTCTTTATATTAAAAAAAATGCACACAGAAAGAGGATGGTGCAAATCATCCTGTAGAACAACACACTCAGGCAGAGCATGATGCAAATAACTTTTTTAGATTCAAGTCCTGCTTTGCTGGACTCTGTCCTTAGAGAGTAGGATATTGCTTGCCTTTGCGTGTGGAGGGAGATCCATTAAGCCAACATTATCAGAAACTCCTTAAGTAATAACCTTCTGCCAGACACTAAACAAATAACTACATTTGATGTTTTAATTCTATCTTTCAACACCCATGTGAAGGGGCATCATTATTCCTATTTTGCAGGAAAGGTAATAGAGGCTTAGCAAAGCCTTAAGTCACACCATTAATAAGTATTGAAACTAGAATTTCAACTTGGTTCCTAAGTTGGATGGTACAAAAAGCCCTTGATAGCACTGAACATATTTTAGAAGAAGTCAAGGACATGGTTCTTCTCTCCCTTGTCCATGTTGCAGAGAGGTCTGGGCTGGCCCTCTGCCCACTCCGCCAACCATACCTTTGTACCTACCTCAGTGTCTGTGATGTCAATCTTGAGTAAGGCTGTGGTGCTGAAGGATGGGGAGCCTCGGTCTTTAGCCTGGACCTCGAGGGACCATCTGTAGTCCCTACTGAGTGTGATATTGTGTAGGGCATCTAGAGAGTTGATGGAGTTCTTGAGCCGGATCTCCCCTGTGTGTGCATCGATGTCAAACACATTGGCTGGTTCAGCATGGGTGATGGAATAGTCCACTAGGTTGTTGGGTTCCTCTGCATCCTGGTCTGTAGCCTGTCAACATGGTGGAGCAGATAGAGGTGGGCATGGGGGAAGACACTTGTGCACAATGGGTAAATCAGCATGTCATATGAGACTTGCTGTGTTGATGGGAAATGTTTCTGATCCTACCTGGAGTGGACTGAGTTGGGAAAAAAGACTGTGTGCCCTACTATAAACCAGGGCCCAAGTTAGGCCTTACATGTATATTATTTGATTATATTCTCAGAGTTAGTCTAGGAAGTAGGTATTGGTAAATCCATATTATGGATGGAAAAATAAAAACTTGGGTGCTAAGTGACTTCTCTAAGGGTCGAGGTGGAATGGAGGGGAGCTGGGATTCAAAGTCAAGTCTGTTGGATTACAGAGGTCATACATAGTGAGAAAAGCATTGCTTTGAAGGCAGGCAGATTCAGTTTTCATTTGTAACGTATTCTTTCTCAGAGGAATTTTCTGTGTCGGGGTGGAGATGAGGTTATATAAAGTACCTTGTAGTCTATTGCCACTGGTGGGAGTCTAATGCATTTTATTTTAGACTAAATTCTTATGCCCAGGGCCTCTCACAGTTGCAGGAAACAAGCTTTCAGGACAGATCAGCTGCCTCCAAAACTCACCTCAATTTTCAATGGAGTCCCCAGCACCATTGTCTTCTCTTGGATGCTCTTTCCAAATTGGGGATAGTGATCATTAACATCCAGCAGATTGACAAATACCTCAGCCAGGCTGTACTTTCCCTCCATGTCCTCTGCCTTCACATAAAAGTTGTACCTAGCAGTGGCCTCAGCATCCAGGTTGGCCCAGGGCTGAGTGTAGATAAGCCCAGTGGATGGGTGGATCAGAAACCTGCCAAGCACAGAGAGCTCAGACACTTGTGCACACATGCATGCATTCCCCTTACACACATGGATTCATGCACACATGCACAAGCCTGCAATGATGAGCTGCCTCCAGAAACAGCAGTGAGGTATCATTCAGCTTCTCTAAGGCATCCCACCTGCTGCTCCTTTTCCATCCTTGCAGTCTGGGAGACAGATCCACCCATTGACTCATCTCTCTATTTCTATGGAGCTTAACAACCCAAATTGCAGCCTTTAACTCTGCTGCCTTCGCCTGCTTGCTCCCCAGCCCAGTCTTACTTGCCTGGCTCCTGAAGCCATGGGCCCTGCCTCCAGGCTGTAACCATGACCTTCTCTCTGTTACCACACTGTGTGTATTCCCTATACCTCGGCTCAGACTGCTTTCCTTCACTCCTTGCCCTCTTCCCACCTTGAACCCTGGAGATGCTTATCCCCCAACCTAGGCCCCTATCCCTTTCAAATCCTTCCTGCCCATTAGCAAAGACTTCCTTCAGTCAAAGCCTCTCAAATTCCTGTCAGAGACTCTATCTGGGGCTATGGATCTACTTACAGGTCTGCCCCAGTCCCATAGATGGAGTATTTGACTTTGCCCCAGGGTCCTGTGTCTGGATCCACAGCCTGGAAGAAAGAAAACTCCTAGTGGCACCTGCCCATTGGCCAAGCACACTGGTACCTCCTGTAGTCAAGGGCTTCTTTCAAGGGAAGCCTGGGGTTCATTCAACCAGGGAAGAATTGACCTGGAGCCTGCCTTGGGTTCCTAGCTTTCCTCCAGAGAGGTCCCAAGTGTTGGAGAAACCAAAAGGTTTAGGTTTAGAAAGCATTTGTTCCTTATTTATAAGGAAGGAAAGGGATGGGTCCCATGTCCCATGCTTGGGTTTACACATAAGTTCTCATTGTAACCACTGATAAGCAAGTGGCATAGGGACTAGCTTTTGACTAATAGCTTATGGCAAAGATGATGAGTTTTCACATCATGAGTAGATTATAAGAGATTTGTAATTCCTGCCTTGCCTGGAGACTCTCTCCCTTGTTTGACCCCTGCTACATAAGCAGTGAGGGATGGCACAGCATCCATTGCATAGATGAAGAAACAGAGACTAAGAGAGTGCAAGCAGCTTGTTCAGAATCACAGCCAAAAATAGTAGGCCTTGTGATTTAAAGTAGAATTCAGTTTAAATCACCCCTGGGCCCTGGGCCAATTCCCAACATACTGTGACAGTCACCACGTTGGAACCTCCTGGGGCGTTCTCAGGGATCCTGGCAATATAGTAGTGGGAGGTGAACTTGGGGACATTATCATTGGTGTCCAGGAGCTGGATCACAATATCCGCTGTGGAACTGAATTTCTCTGGGGTGTTCACTTCAATGGCCAGAAGCTGGGGAAGGAAGCAGAACCGAGGGCTTGTCTGAATGGGTGGCCACACTGCCAAGAACTGTCCCACACCTGTCTCCCCACCACTCCCCACCAGCACTCCACCTGCCTTGTTTCCTAGTCTTACTCTCAGCTATCACTAAGTGTTCCTGCCACCATGATGTGTGGCTACACATCTTTCCTCCCTAGTGGGCTTGCAATGCCAGCTTTCTTATCATTCCCATTTGTATTGGGGCCTTTTTCTTTTGTTCTACTGATCTGTATATTCCTCTGTAGTTTCAGGCCAACAATTCTTATAAGTTTGTTTCTCCAGATAAAGACTAGCATAATTTTATCAAGGCTTTTCATCACCTCTCCAAAGGAAATTCTAGGTAAGAATTAACTGCAGTTAATTCTTTATTAACTTAAGGAAATTTTACATTTTTATAACAAGGAACACCTTAATATGCCTTGCCTCTTTTGTATCCCTTTGTGAAATTTTGCATTTTTCATAATTTAAATGCCTCATGTTTCTTATTATAGCAGTTTCTAGGAATTTTATCTGTTAATTGTTTTTGTAAAAATTGTTTTTGTAAAAGAGAATCTTTTATTGCAGTATATTTTCTTATTTGGGGAGAGAATGTAGGAGAACAATTGGATTTGGGATACTAATTTTGTAATCAACAGTGTTAGTAATTTCTCTATATTTCTAATAGTTTTTCAATAATTTTTCTTAGATTTTTCTAAGGAAACAATCACATTCCTTACAAATAATGTTCATTTTGGTTTTTCCTTTCTAATGGTTGCGGTTCTTATTTCCTTTGTTTATCCAGGAATATTGTTGTCCTAAACATTGTGCTAAATAACAGTGGTGACAGTAGGTATTCATGTTTTGTTCCCAGCTTCATAGAATACTTTCAGTATTTTGTTTTTTAGTGTGATGCTGGCTGTAAGTGTGCATGGGTATATAATGATAAATAATGTTGATTCACATAATTTCAGTTTTTATTAATACCTAACTTGTCTGTTAATATATAATATGCATTACTTATATAAATTTCTAATTTTACATAATTACAAATGACATTTCCCTCTTCTGCTAAGGTTGTTATCAGAATTATCAGAATAGAGGATAGATGTCCATGGCCCATGAGAAAAATCTATCTTGATAATCATACAGTTTCTCTGTATATATCTGTTAATATGACAAGTGATACTGGTACTTTACCTATGACTCCCCAGCCCTTGCATTCCTGGGCTAGTTGTGGTTTAGAAACTGGGTGCTCAATGAGGCTGAGGCTGTGAGCAGTCTGAAGAAACTGTGGGTCACTTTTCTCCCCCTATTCCAGCCCACCACCTGTTCCCCACAACAGCAAGAGGGGCAGAGGGCCTAGGAGGAAAAGAATAGGGCCAGGATAGGCAGGAGGTGACAAGGGTCCCTCAAGAATGAATCAAGATGTTGGAGTGAATTCCTGACTCACCCCTTTAGGGTAGTACAAAGCACCACCTACCTTGAAGGTTAACACTTTGGACTTTTCAAAATCAATGGCTGCTGAGTTCTCCACGATGATGGTGATTTGGGCTTCATTCAAAACTGTTTGTGGGACCACTCGAAAGATGCCTCCAGGTCCCACCAGCCGCAAGTTGAATTTGGCATTGGCACCCTGAGCAATAGAGTTTGGAAAGAAGAAACAAAAGATAAAAGGGAATAGAAATGCATTAAATATTTATGCTAAGTTGCGAGTCTTCTTGTGCCTTTAAACCTGAAAGGTGAATAGTGTTTCTTTCTGAAGGTGAGTTGATTAAGAATCAGAAAGATTTAGTAGGGTATGAAGGTTAAGCAAAATAACAAGTGCATTAGGTCTAGTCTTGTGCTGGGCATAGGAGGTGGCAGGACACATTTACAGACACCAATTTGGAGGGTCAGATACAGAGGACTTTTGATTGACTGGCTTTTACTTTTTAATTGATCGTGAATGCCTTTAGGCTTAGCAGATATAGTCTTTGATTGGTTACTGACCCTCCACTCTTTCTTGGTCATACCCTCTTGTTTCATTCATTTTGCAAACTTTCTGGCCCCTGCTACATAAACTGTTGAAGATCGAAGGTTGATGCAGACCTAGTCAGTTTGAGGGCAGGACCACACACCTGGTCTGAGTCATTGACAGTGATCTTGAGGCCCCGCAGGATCTCCCCTTGGGGTGGGTGTTCATACATGGACAGCTCAAACTTGTTCTGGGGCCCGTTCTCTCCATAGAATGTTGGTGGATGGTTGTTGAGGTCTACGATCCTGATGGTGACTGGTACCATGGCCTGGGCAGCTGGGATCCCTGCAGAACTGACCTCTGTCACCTGGGGTGGGAACAAGTTTCTATAGCTGTGTGTCAGGTGGAATCTTGTTGGCCTCAATGATCTTGCCTCCTGGTATCCATTGCCTTTGTCCAATCCCCTCTCCTTAAGGGTGGCCTAAACTCAACACTTGCTTCTGACTGATGGCATATGGTAAAGATGATGGGATGTCACTTCATGGTTAGATTACAAGAGACTATAACTTCCATTTTGCTAGCAGAATCTCTCTTGCTGGCTTTGATGAAGAGGGCAGCTATGCTGGTGAAGTCTATGTAACCAGGAACTAATTGTAAGCTCTAGCCAACAGGCGTCAAGCAACTAAGTAATGGCAATAACAAAGTAAGCCAGGAAGCTAATACTTTTCCAGCAGAGCATCCAGATGAGACCCCAGTCCCCATACACAGACAGTGACAATCTGATTATAGCCATGCAAGAGATCTTGGAGCTGAGGACCTGGTCCAGATAAGTCTGGATTCCTGGCTCCCACAAACTGAGATATGAATTGTGTTGTTTTAAGCCACTAAGTTGGGGCAATTTGTTTGGAAGCATTAGATAACTATACAGGCTGCAAAGCCAGGGCTCAGGGTCCATAGGCACTTCATGAACCATGTGGTAAATATCATAAGGGCCTGTTTTGGGGTCTCCTTTCCGTTTGTCCATAAGGGTGCTCTGGCTCTGTAAGGATGCTCTCCTAAAATGACCCTCCCTAGACCCTGCTTCTTCACACCTGGCTGCTGTCCTTAACTCTTTCCCTTTTCAGAAGTCCGTGCCTTCTCCCACTCAATTCTCACCTGTCCTGCATTTACATATTTCACACTGACTTCCATGAAGCATCCTCACTACCACCTTTGCACCTTCTCAAGGTTTGATTCCTGTGGCTAAAATGACTGCTCTCAGAAAGCTCCCCTTCACTTCTCTGATCTTTCTAGGGTTTCTTTCACCTGTTCTCTCCTCCTTACTCTTAGCCTCCCATGCTCTCGTAGTTGTGGACTTAGCCAACTGCTCCTCTGTCCCTATGGCCATTCTCTGGGTAATCTCCCTTCCTCCCATACCTTTCACAGGGTGTGTAGACAATATTTCCTCCATGATCCAAACCTTTATGACCAAGATTGAATGTTTCACCTTGCACCCCAGGCACCCAGATGCATCATTTCCCTCCTGCAAAACTTGCTTCCTCTCTGGTGTTCCTTATTGCATGGTGTCATCCTGGACTTCATTCACACCTCAATCATTCCTCCCCGACTGCAGACAGTCAATTGCCATGTTCTGTGAAATCTGCCTCCTTCTTATTTTACAATTTGAACTTTCTGCCATCCCATCTTCCCTTACCCCCACAAATCCCCTTCCTCTGACACCTTGCCTGGTAGCCCTGCCTTGTGCCCAGTTCCCTTCACAATGGAATCAAGACCAGGTTCTTACTGCTAGGCTAGGACTTTTGTCAGTCCTATCTCCTGGACACTCATAATACACATAGTCCTGCAGCTACCCCACATACACTGAACTCCCATTCCCAAAATAGGCTTCTGGAAATCTTTGATGGCCTTTCCAAATTCAGGAACCTCACTGGAGTGAGCTTTCCAACCTATAAACTGCAATTCTGCTCAAAACCTTTCCATGGCTCTTTATTGCACTTGGACAGGACCAGCTACTAATTGGCAGGTCCACCACCGTGGAAAGTTAGTAAGAAATTCAAGAGAGCAAACAGCAGGGCATTAAGCTTAGTGTGGGACCCTTCTAATCACAGCCTCCATGTGACTTTAAATGGTCACATAATCTGCTCTAAGGAAAAACCTGTAATTTGCATTTAGGGCCTTGTTCTTCTGGCACCAGTCTGGGATTACTACCTTGCTCCCGATGCTGTTCATGGACTCTGCTCCAGTCTCATTTGACTGCTTGTTGATGTCCCATTACATCTCGTGCTGTTGTCCCCCAGCCTCGACTCTTGTGGTTTGTAGTGCTCTACTTCATCCCAACCATCCACGGTCCCATCTACTGGATCCTAACCATGCTGGACACATTGCTGCTTCAGTCATGCTCCCTCCTGCCTTTTCATGTTTCCTGCTTGTGAAGTTGTTTCCCTTCATTGGGTGCTTTCCATATGTCTGCTGCGGCCTGATGTAGGTGCTCCTTACAGTGATATCTAGCTCCCTCCCCAGACTGGGTCCCTGGAGGAGGGAGGGCCTAGGTTTTATGGCCTCTGTAGCTTTTCAGTGCTGGAAAGTGAGCAGAGAAGGCCAAGACAAAGCAGTATTACCTGTACATGCAGCTCATACACCTCTCTCCAGAGATGGGCAGGGCTCTGCGTGACAGAGATGGCTCCAGACGTCTCATTAATTTCAAAAGCTCCATCACTCCCTGTCAGAAATGTGCTCTGCAGTTCAGCAAAGGGCCACAGGAGGGAGCAGGGGGTCATGCTCCTAAAACATCCTCCTCCACCCCCCACTCTTCCATCTCTTCATGGAATGTTAATACAGTCAATCGTCTATACCTTGCCAATGAGGAAACCGAGTCTCAGAGGGGCTAAGCAGCTCAGGGCAGAGGTTAGACTTGAATTCACTTCTGTCCAGCTCCCAGGTTGCATACTGGGTCCTTTCTCTTATGTATGACACTATGAGTGTGTGTGTGTGTGTGTGTGTGTGTGTGTGTGTGTAGCAAAGAAAATGGGAGCAAAACCTACACAGAGATGGTGATGAAGAAAGGAATAAAGGAGAGAAGTGACTGGAGGAAGGGAAGAGAGAGAGGGACAGGAAAGAACCTAAGGAAGCTGCAGGAGATGGAGGGTGTGGAGAGGGAGAGGTGAAGAGGGGGATGGGGTAGGTATACTGTAACAGGTACAGGTGGGGTACACCTGGGGTACAGGTACACCTGGGGTACAGGTGGCAGTGATTGGAGGAGGGAAAGCACTGAGGGCTTGTATGCCTGGGGAGGAACCCACGTGTGAGGGTGGGCATGTTTGTTAATGCTGGAGTTGCTGGAAGACAAGTGTGCACTAGGCATGTCCTAGGGATAGGGTCGGGGGTGGTGGTATCTGGGTGAGAGACATATGCACAACTGGGATCAGGCTCTAGGTGTGTTGACGTGGCCTCTTGAGGGTAGCAAAGACCACCCCAAGGACACTGAGGTCTGCTCAGCCCTGCCAGGTACATGAACAGGACACACCAGTCAGCTGACTTAGGTTCAGATCCAGTGGTGGGGACTTGGGATGCCTGTTTAGCACTTTTGAGCTTCAGTTTTCTCATCCACACACAGAGCTAGTAGTAGGGAAATTCTACAGCATCATTGCATTTCCTTTGTTCAATCCAGCTGTATGTTCTAGGTCAAAGATGAAAAAGAATGAGAACAAAATACACCAATTCCAAGAGTGTAAGAAACATTGCCCCTCGTTTCCATTAATGAGTGCATATCCAGAGTGAAAGGAACACAGATAAGCGCAGCCTGTGTTGCTCTTAGGCCCCATGCTTCCCTCCCTATCACTGGACATAATGACAAACAAAGACGAAAACACTTGACATCTCCTGAGGGGCCTGGCCCCTCCTCTCCACAGCTTCTTGGCCTCCTGGTCCTATACACAAGGGAACCAGGGCCCAGAGAGGTTGGAGAACCTGGTTCTGCAAACCTAGAGAGTTGGAACCATAGCCCCAAAGCTGTCCAGACTCACCATTCACGAGGCTGTAGAGGATGTGGTTAGGTTTGCCTCGATCTCCATCCATGGCAACCACTGTCAGCACCTCTGAGCCCTTGAGGGAACAGGAGTGGCGTCCTGAGCTGATGGTGACTCTGGGTATCTCCCCTCCCCAGACACTGCCCCATCGTGGAGGGGAAGGTGCCTCCCCTATCCAAGAAAAGAGCCAGGCCTCGGAGTGACCCTGAAGTGTTGCCCTGCTCTGCTCTGCTGGGCTCTTCGCACATACTGCGTTCTGGAGTCACAGCCTAAATCTTGCTGTTCCTGGACCATAGGGTCAGAATATGGGCTGCCTAAAGAGTCTCAGGCCTCCTAACTGACTCCTGATCCCCATGCCCCACTCAGCCCTCACTCTGCTGCCCCTCCCCTGCCCATCTCACCCTACTGTTCTTCACTGTCTTTTGTCCTCATCCCACCTAAAGGTGCATAGGGGAGAGGTGAGGGGCAGGGGGGAGAGGGGTGGGTCATGGAGTGCCTCAAATACCAAGTCTAAGAATTAGGATCTTATTCTGTGGCTCTTAGCCTGTGTTGTTCAAAGGGTTTTAGGTGTGGGGGGCACAGCTTGACAAGTTCATCTTGACTTTTGTCATCAGCCCCCTTCTAAGCACCCTCCTTGGGTCATTCCCTCTGGTCTGTTCACTCAGGGCCACATCTTGATCTGGCCCAGGTACTGCCACCCCTCCAGAGCCTGTCCTGAGCCCTGGTTCTTAGCGCCTCTCTCTGTCATTAGCTCCTCCTCAAATCCTTCCTGCTGATCCACTAAAAGCCACCAACATTTCTCTCTCCCTCTTTGCTTGTTTTCACCTATAGGTCCTCAGCTTCTTCTTGTTTCATAAATGAAGAATAATCAAGGAGATGTGAAAGTTAAGAAAGCAAGCCAATTCCACAGTGAACTGCTGCGTTATGGCCCAGTGAGGTCTGGCTCCAACCTGGTCTTTGCCTTTAGGGACCTCATGCTGTAGTTGGGGGACACATAAATACATGGATGTACCCCAAAGAGGGACAAGCTCCAGATGGGTTGTGCCTGGTGTGCTGTGGGGGCAGAGAGGAAGTACCCTATCTCAGCCCAAATGTGATAGGGAGCGCAGTGCCTGAAGTGAACTGGGAAGGAAGAAGGACATTAGGTGGTTTGGGAGATGGGAAGATGCATACAGGATAGTGGGGCTCATGGGGCAGCAGGGAGGCTGAGCCTCAGAGGCCTAGGTAAGGAGTGGGACCTCTGGGGACTTGTCCAGAGGCCAGAAACCCGAATAGGGAGAAAAGCTGAGACTGGCCTTCCATCTTAGCCCGTGCAGGATGCCTGACAAGGATCACAATGGTTACAGCAACAGATTATGGGAGAACGGATAGTCTGGAGTCCCTAGACTATAGATTTGGGGCTGGAAACTTCACCCTCCATAAAAGGTATGAGAAAGGCCCTGCTCAAGCATAGCCTGCCGCGTGCCATCCCCACTTCTCTTGCCCTTTCTAGGGGCCAGCCTTTGAAGCTGGGCAGGGGGTAAGCTTGAATGAATGCGGAAATGCTTGGACCCAGCCTTATCACCCAGGGGATGCTTTACACACCAGGGTGAGTTTTCTCCCTCTTATTCTTTGAAGGCAAAAGTATGTGTTCACTGGCTGAGTCTAGGTGAGTCCAGAGCCAGTCTATGTATGGCAAGGGCAAGATGAAGTGGGGCATGGGTGTTGAGCCCAGCTGTTCTCAGCTAGGGGACCCAGGGAGTCATGAAAGACAGGGCAGGATGTCTCTAGAGGGGACACTGGCTAAAGGGTGCAGCCACCTACCGGAAGGGTGTCCTCATAAACATAGCCATAGTAGGGTGTGCCCACGAAGACAGGGGTCATGTCCTGAACGTCCTCCACGTTGACTGTGACAGTTGTAGTGGCTGACAACACTACATCAGCCCCTCGAAGCCTGCCTCCACCATCCTGGGGAGAAATCAGAAGCCCCAGAAGGAGGGTGAACATAGGCTGGGCCTAGGTATTGGACAGGCTTCATGTAATCTGGCTCCTGCCACTTATGAGCTGTGAGGCCAGCTACTCCCTCTGAAGTCTGTTTGCTTCTCTCACACTGGAGTTTATTCTCCTCTCATAGGGATGTTGGGAAATTGGGAAATGATGTGTGAAACTTTTCAGTTAGCACTTGGTGTGTAACAGGTTTCTTTGGATACAGGATTAGTTTTCTCTCCTGGACATTGAGCAGGGCAAGTGCCAGAGGAAGAGGGTGGTAAGAGCTAAATTACCACTACCAGCCAGGAACCAAGCCTCAAGCACCTCCTGAGGACCTCACATGCCCAGCCTGTGCTGGGGACCATGGGGCTCACAGAAGAATGACCTGGGCTCTCACCCACAGATGTGTAATGGAAGTCCAGAGCCCTCACAGAGCAGCCAGCAGGTAAAGCTGACTCTGACCACCTGTTACTGGCTGTAGCAGAATGTCCTGTAGCCAATATGTGATTTGCAAGGGGCTTCCTGTAAAGAATCCTTTAGGCCTGGAGGGAAGGCTGTAGTTTCACACGCTTGTGGGGAAGAACTCCCTATCATGTACTTCAGAAACCCCAGGAACTTCATTAGTTTCAAGGCTCAGAGAGGGCAGCTGATCAGACAGAGAGAAGGTCAAACAAGGACTGAGAGATGGAGGTGCAAAGAGGCCAGGTTTTGGAACACTGATGTGAGGGGCGGGGAACATGAGTCTCTATGTCAGGACCATCTAGTCCTACCTAGGGAGTTCTAGCTTGTAGGTCTCAAGGGGTCACTAGCTCTCCCCCAGAATGTAACGTGGTCTCCCCAGCTCACAGATACCAGCTTCCCTGAAGAATAAATATGTCCAGGCAGAGAAGATTCCAAGAAACCACCTCCTTGTCCCCTTGATTCTCATTGGGTCTCCTGCTCACTGTGCTCCAACTTAACAAAAACTGAGGAGAGAATGGATACTCCCCTGTTCCTCCCTCTGTTACCTTGGCAACCACAGTGACAAAATGGGTTCGGGACTTCTCGTAGTCCAGAGTGGCTCCAGCCTGGAGGCGCAGCACACCACTGTGACGATCCACAGCAAACTTGGTGGAGTGCAGGTCCTGTAAGAGTTGAAGAGTGGCTAGACCTCAGGGAAGAACCCAGGCCACCTCTAATAATGCCCTCTTTTTTCTGAAGGGGTCTTTTTGACCATTATTGTGGGAACTCTGGCTTTGGGGCTGAGGTTACAAATTCAAGGCCCCCAGTCCTTCTCATCCCAGGCTCCCCTTCATGGGCTCTGTTTGGGCTTTCACTCCCACAACACCTTCAGTCAAAACCAAAACATTCTCTTCCAGAAAGGTGCCAGCTTTTCTCTCTTCTCAGCTGGACAACACAGTGGACTCTGCCTTGGGCTAAGAAATGACCACAGGTTCCAGTAGGTAGAAAGGTCTACAGAGTGCTCTAACTTAGAGGGAGCTGGGGCTTAAGACTCATAGTGATGGAGAGAAACTTAGGGACCTTAAAACATCAAGTAAGCAGCTGCGGCCTGTCCCAAGGGGCATCTGTTGAGGAGTGGCAGGAGATGGTGAGCAGGCTGGAGTAGGCTGGTGGGATACCTGCCTCCAGGGTGAGGTGCTAGGGGCCTTTCTGACTGGAGAGGGTTACACACTAGGTGTCAGGTACTGTGATTAGAGTTTTACATGTATCTAATCCTCACAATGGTTCAATAAACACATGCTTTTATATTTTCTATTTCACATGTGAGAAAGCTGAGCTAGAAAAGCTAGGTAATGTGTTGAAGGTACATGATGGGTAGGTGGGGGATTTCTTAGTACCAGTGGAGTCTTGGGTATTTCCCTAGAACCTGTAGTTTTAGCCCCAGGCCATTCTGATTTGAAAATTGTGAAGAATGGTGACCAGATGTGGAGAGAAGACGAAATGCTATAGAAACAGCAACTTTGTGAAGGAGGGCAGCTGGCTCCTGGGAGACCAGGGAGAGGCAGGGAGGACAGGGGAGGGGTACCCACCTTTGTCAGGACTGCATCAATGGATGAAGATGGGGACTGAGTCATCATAGCTCTGCTTATTTTGAGACTTGCCCCTTCTCCCATTTTTCATAGTGATCATTCCAGGCTCAGACAGATTTCTTACAGTCTTTGACTGTAAAGTGCCCAGGTTTCCTGGGGAAGAGGCTGGGGAAGTGAGGGCTGAGGATCCTGGTACTCTAGGGAGGGAGGGGCAAAGGCTTTTGTCCCTTTCCGTTCCCCATTCTTGTGCTTACTCTTGGAAATAATACAGGCACTGGCCTAAAGTCCCTGGTGATGGGGGTACAGGAAGCCCTCGTGTCCTCTCCAGTTCAGAATGCTGCTTGCATCCTGAGCGTCCCATCTTACCTGCAGGAAGTAGGTGACACTCCCTCCGGAGCCTGTGTCCTTGTCTACTGCATGAACTTTAAAGATGCTGCTCCCAGAAGGTGTGTCCTAAGGGGTCACAGCCACAGGGAAGGAACAGAAGCAGTGACAAGATGCTCGGGGAACTAGATAGAAGCATGGGGGCCATGGAATAGTAGGGTCAGAGGGGAGAATGGCTAAAGAGGTGAGAAAGTGGTGACAAAGAGTGTGAGCATCCAATGGGCAGGGACAGAAATATCTCCTCTGGAGACTTGTCAAGTGGATGCAGGGAAAGGGGGAAGCAAAGGAAGAGGAAAAAGACATAGCAAGAGGCTGGGAGATACCCGTCAAGGGGAGAGGGAGAAGAAAAAACAAGACTTGGAAAGATAAGGTGCTTAAATATGAAATGGCAATTTTCAAATGAGGACACAGTTCACAAACATGAATCATCAGGGGCTACATGCCCATAATTTAGAGCAAGAATGAAATGGCTTTCTCCTACTGAATTAGCAAATATTTTAAACTTTGGCATTTCCTGGTATTAGAAAAGGACAGGGAAGAGAAACTGTCCTTTATATTGCAGGGCAGAGAGCAAACAGGTGACTTTCTGGAAAAGCGATTTGGTGATACAGGCATTCATGCTTTGACTTGTTAATTTCAAATCTTGGGTTGTATCATAAAGAAACAATATTTTCTTTCTTTCTTTTCTGTCTCTTTCTGTTTTTTCCATGCTAGGGAGTGAGCCTAGGTTTTTGAGTATGCTGAGCAAGTATTCTACCATTGAGCTATGCCCCCCAGCTTCTTAAAAAAAAATCTTAATTAAAGGGGAAAAAAACCCAAGCATGGTGGTGCATGCCTGTAATCCTAGCATTGGGGAAGAAGAGGCAGGAGGATTGTGAATTTGAGGCCAGCCTGGGCTACATAATGAGATCCTACCTCAAAACAAAAATAGCATGCTTAAAGGTTGGTTTTTCTTTTGAAAGCAAAAATTCAAAGCTTAAATATCCAATCATAAGGGGATAGATTGAACATTCACTTGATGGGCGCTATTAAAATGGTAACTACCGAAACTTTACAATTAAGGGAAATGCTTATGGTATAAATGAAGTAAAAATAGTATACAGAAAGCATGTTTATATAATTACAAGTGTGTCACGCAAAAAGAAAAAAAACATGAAAAATACTACAAGGAAATACATCAAAAGTTAACAAGGTCTCGAGTTGGAGGAATGCAGAGTGACTTTTAAGTCTTTCCCCCTATTTTTGTATATATTTCACATTCCCACTATAAGCACACATTATGATTATAATGGAAAATAGTGAATGGACATTGTTTGGCATAAGAATGAACATGGGAGGGAGGGCATGGTGGCAGAGGTGGGGGAGGATACAGAGGTAAGGGCCCTCTGGAGGGCAGTGGGAATGGGCAAGTGGTCTGTGCTCCAGGCTGTGGCCCCTGAATCAGGCATGGGCCTAAGTGGGAGCATCTCCCCTGCCCAGCAGCCTCTCACTCACCTCAGGAACCAGGATGACATAAGGCTCCTGGACAAACCTGGGCGCTTCATCATTAGCATCGGTGACCAGGATCACGACTTTTTCTGCCACCTGAGCAGGGGCAGGAATGAGGGTAGTAAGACCTTCTCAGGGATAAAAGAATGGTGGCCTCTAAGATCCCAGCGTATGTTCCTACTATCTTTCTTTCTCCCTCCCCCTCTCCTTTCTTCCTTCTTTTGTTCATTCATGCAACAAGTATTACGAAGTAACCACTTGGTGCCAAGCATTGAGTTCTGATCTGAAGATAGAAGACCGTCTTAGGGCACATTGATTTTCAGTGGCCATGATGAGTCAGCTATGGAGCAAAGATCAGCATATACAAGAAGGTGGAGATAGTATTTGGGGTGATAATGGCAGAGTGCCAGGTCTTGAGAGCAGGAATGCTGCATGGACCTACTTGAGGCAACCCCGTGCACCATGACCTGCATAGATCCATCCCTCAGAGCTGAGTGCCTCAGCCAGAATTCCTGAGAAGAGCATTAGCCCCAGCTGTGGGGTGGGCAGCAGAAGACCTCCTTGGAGGAGTGCTCATTAAACCCTGCAGCAGGTTGGTGGGAGAAAAGAGGTAGAAAGGTGGGCAAGGAAGAAGCCATGTGTGCAAGGGCAAAGAGGAGTAAGGTGCACGGTGGGTGAGTTTGGAGGACAGGAGATTTCTGTGCAGGTGGTCCGAAAGGTGGGTGGGGGAGTACAGCTGTGTGGGGCAGGTGGCACCTGATGGGAGAACTCGAGAGTCCCAGGGAAGCTTGAAGTTCATTCCAAGGGTGGTGAGGGCCAGCAGCTGGCACTTTCTGAGCCAGGGAGTGGCCAGATCTAGGTTTCACAATGATGGCACACGGGAGGTGGTTTGGGGTGGCTGGGGAGCTTCTGGGGCCTGCTGCAGTAATCCTAGTAAGCACTGATAAGAGCTGCGGTAAAGTAGTGGCTGTGGACAGCAGGTGAAGAACACTTGGTAGGCAGGTGTTCAGCTCATGGGACTGGGCAGGGGGCCTAAGACCAGAGCTGGAGGAAGGCAGGCTTCAGGAGCATGGGTTAGACCCATCAGAAGTTCAGCTGAGAATGCCTGCTTTCTTTCTTCCCTCCCCTTTCCTCTTTCCTTCCCCTCTGGCCTCACTGCAGACCTCTGCTCCCGACACTTAGGGCAGGTCTTGAGGGGCCACTGCTTGAGGTTACCAAGGAGCCTTCAAGAAAGTTGAGAGAGGAACTGTGCCTTCTCAGGCCTGAGGCTGCATGCTATCTGGGGGCCAACTAGGGTGCACACTCACCAGGTTCAAGCCGTCAGAAATGCTGATGATGGCTTCGATCTCATCCTCCTTCTGTGAAGCAGAGGAACTGAGTAAGTGTCCAGGAGTCTAACACACCATGGGAACCAGAGGCTGGGTGGGGCTCTCCCTGTCCCATGAACCAGTGGAGAGCCTTGGACATGTCAAGGGAGCCCCAGAGCAGGATGGGGTGGTGGCAGAGTGCCAGACCTCTTGAAAGCTGCCTCTTGTCATGTTTGGGACCTTGTTTGGGGGGGTTTGTGTTTCAGGAGTTCTTTTAAACTCACATGACTCTAAAAAAAAATACTGTCCTGGGAGAATGAGGGGAGGTGCCAACCCTGTGTGCTAGAGGAAGAAGATTCCTTTCTTCTTTTTTCCTTTTCCTCTCTCTTATCTCTCCGTGCCTATCCACATTCCAGAGTTTGGCAATGGTCCATATCTATGGTGTCTCCAGTGCTCTCCAGGATGTGATGGGACCTCCATGAGGTCACCACATCCACAGTTTAGGAGCAGTGCACCAGCAGCTGTCTTGTTCCACTGCTGGGTCACACTCTGATACCTCCCTTTCCTTTCTCTGCCTGTCTGGTAGCAGTTCCACAGCAGAGATCCAGTTATTTGGCTGACCAGGCTGATCAGCCAGCTGTGGGGTCTCAAATGGGGAAGGAAGCTCATACTCATCACTGCTGGTTCACAAGTGCCCAGAAGGCTCCCCTGGATCCCTTCTCCACAGGGAGGGTCTAATGCATACCAGTGTGCTCTTGGGGAACTCCTTCTCCCAGCAGACAGCAAGCCCAAAGCACTCCCCACACTTCCCCATACCTCTCTGTCCAGCTCTTCCACCAAGGTGATGTTTCCAAAATTGGGGTCAACAGAAAAGACGTTTCTAGTGCTGGGGTCAAAGCTGATGTGGTAGGAGATGAGGTCCCCCTCAGGGTCTGTCCCATTTAGGGTATATATATGAGAACCTGGAAGGAGACAAGGGGAGGGAGGAAGGGAAACCTGGAACCTAGGACTCAACCTTTCCTAAAAGTGGTTGCTGCTCAAAGCCAAGAATGTGACTGTTTAAAAAGTGAATATTTTCAATTCAGTGCCAAAGGTACTGTCCTGAACCTGCTCACAGCTGGCCTCACCCCTGCTGGCTGCTTCCCACCTTTTATCGCTATTCTTTACAACTATCAGATGTTATTATTAACCACTTTCTAGATTGTATCTGCAAGAGTCTACAGAGGAAGAGCTTGTCTGATTTGCAGCGACTGTATTTCCCTCTTCCTGGAACGATACCTCTCCCAGTATCGAAGACTGGGAGCTTCCTAGGATCACTGGGGGTGGGGTGGGGGGGAGAAAGGAGCAGTCACTAAGACAGGGGAGTGACATATTGTGCAGTAGTAAATCCCAATGCCAGGACTGACTCTTCAGGGATTTCTGAATGCAGGCACCTCTTTGTTCCTCATTTTCCCAAGGGGTGGTGACTCAGACTGGATGAAGGAGAGGGAGTGTGAATCTCTCCTCTTCCTCCCTTGCATCGCTCTGCATATACCAGACAGTTGGAGCCTCAGAGACCTGAGGGTCAAGGAGGTAAATATGTTTGCTCAAGTTTGCACATAAACAACACCTTAGAGCCATGCTGTTTTGGCCCTTGTTCTGATCTCCAGGACTGGTCACTCCCCTTTTGAGTCACCATGGCAGTGACCTCCTTTCCTGTCATAACCCTGGGGAATTCAGAGCACAAACAGGGCACCTTGGAAAGCATGCAGCCTGGTGCTTAGCTCTACTATAGGCTCAGAGGCATCATGGGTTTTGTCCCTGAGTCCAGGGGAATGCAAGCTGCCCTCAGGGAGACATGTGGTGGGGGGCTGGTGTCAAGGTTATTTACTCACCTACAGGGGTGTCCTCTGGGAGGCTAAATAGGGCCATGTTTCCACTGGTGCTGCCCACTCCGTTGTCGAAGAAGTGGGGGGCGAAGTTGGCCTGGGCTAGGAAGAGTATACAGGCAGGAAGACATACAGACACCCAGAGAGATCTTTGCACCAGCGTGGTCACGCATCAAGCCCTGCCTGCTAGTGGACAGGAGACTGCTTGGCTTCCCTAACTCCAGCCTGCCAAGGGTACCCATGGAAGATTCCAGCTGAGGTGCCCTGAAGAGGGTCACCCCCATCTCACCCTACCTCCAGTGGACTCTGACTGGGCTAAACCTTGTCACATACGTACGTAATATTTGGGACGCCTGGAAAGCAGGCATAGCACAATCCCACTTCCATCAAAGGACAGTTAGGGAAAGAATGCTCAGATGACAGTGCCCCGGCCAAGATCACACCGCTTGGCAGAACACCCTCTCTTGCCCTGCGGAGTCAGCAGAGTCGTCACCAAACCTCCCACCGTGCCTCTGAAGAAGCGGAGAGAGTAGCGCGAGTCTTAGCCCCAAACCGCGGGGTCCAGGGCACCCGCCGGTGCCAGGGAGATGGAAGGTTTTATCTCCTCCCGCGTCCCGCAGCCCGAGTCCCACTCTGAAAGTGGACGATCCAGGACTAAGTGCCTGTGTCCACCCAGGGAGAACGAGCGCGCGTCCTCCGTCGCCGTCACCACTCACCTAGGCAGAAGCGCAGCAGCCCCAGGGCCAGGACTGCCCACGGGCCGCGCTTCATGTCTCCGCGGGCGGGTCTTGATCCTCGCCGCCGCCGAGGCCGGGCGCAGGAGTACCAAGCATGCCCCGGACGCGCGAGAAGAGCAGAGACGACAATGGAGGTGGCAGTGGCAGCAGCGGCGGCAGCTGCGGAGGGAGGGGGCGAGGAGCGGGAGCGCCGGGGCGGGGTGTGAGGGCGCTAAGCGGATGACACCGCCGGGATCTGCGCGACAGGAGAGCTTCTGCCCGCTGCCTAATGAGGCCAATTAGTGAGTGGGCTCAGAGCAGAGGGACCAGCTTCCGCAGGGGACAGGAGGGCGGGACAAGAATATCCTCTCTCCTACCCTGCTCCCTTTGCCCACGCCTGGCGCTCAGGGGTCCCAGGTCCCAGGATAGGGCGCTGTGGAGGGGGAGGGGCATCTTTCCCCAGATGGCCCTGAGAAGGCAGGCTACTAGAAAATTGGGGCTTCCTAGGGTCCTCTAGTCTTGGTGGTGCTTGGGCTCCACTGATTTCCCTTTTTCAGGAACTTCCTTTACAACTGTCAGGGAGTTCCATGACCTCTCTGAGCTGAGCATTCAATGAAAATAAAATAGTGGGCAGAGAAACAGTCCACCCTCCAACCGAAGGGGTCCCTAGATGAAAAGAGAGGAGAAAAGCTATCCACGCAGGTTTAAGGAACAGGGTCACTTTAGGCTTTAAGGGTGAACCAAAAGACAAAGAGCAAAGGTGAGGGGTTATAAGGACGCCTTTTCTGGGATCTCAGCCTGTTGCTACCCTGCCTCCTGTGCCAGGCCAGTATCATCATCTTTTGGTGGGCGTCAAGGAAGCCCTTTCTTCTCCATCCCCAGCACTCAGTCTGGTCACCGAGCAGGGGCAGCAGGCCCACTCTTCCTGGTGCCTGCTACAGTACCCTGAGTAGATTCTCATTCTCCTGTGCACACACTGCAGTGTATTTGGAGATGCAGCTTCTCCCCCTTCTCCCAACTGGAGCACTTACAGGTTGTGTGTTGGGTGGGGTAGGATTGAAGGACAGTCACTTCTCTCCCAGTTACTTCCCAGGATGCCCTTGGAAGGCATCCAGTCAGAGGAGACCCCTGAAGTGGCCTCCACAGCTGAGGTTTCAATATTCTTCCCCAGGGGCAGTCTTCATGCCCAGGGTCAAGGCCTCCTTGGTCAAGTGTCAGCAAGGATTAGAGGTTTAGGGAGAAGGGAGAAGATGAATCAGAGAACGTAGAATGTTCAGCAAATTTCCATCCCTATTGATCAAAACCCCTCTTGAATCCCCTTAGGCTTGGCCCTTTGTCTGAAAATATACACTGGAAACCGCAGGGACCTTTCGATATCTTTGCTTCACAACATGTTGGAACAAAGCCAGGGCAAAGCATTCCACAGTCCTCCATAGAGATGAGGAGGCTGAGGTATGCTAAGGCAGAGCCAAGGCTTCCTGGGGCATACATTTTGTTGGTGTGCTGAGAAGGTCCAACTTTCCTGTGTCCTGTCCATCATCTCTTCACCAAAGGATTCCTTAGTGGAGACTCGATGTCTCTGTCCTCAATTCACAGTTGACAGACTTGCACTGGAGGGGGACAAAGAAAGTACAGGCTGCCTGCCATCCCAGTGTGTGTGTGGGGGGGCTGCATTTTAATGTGGAAAGGGACTTCTCAGTGGGGACTTCATATAATCTGATACCCTCTCCCATCTTTCTGGTAAACATGTTGCAAGTCCTGAGAAGCAGTGCATCTTGATTGAGGTCAAACAACAGATGCATGTTAATGACTTTCTCCAGTAAGGAGCTGTGGATGGTGAGTCTGCTGCTTGCTTCTAAGCTGTCTACATGTTTGCAGATGGCTAATAAATGGGCAAGGTCCAACCACCCCCAGGGAGACCAGACTGAAGCATTGGACATACCTTTTCCTACAGGCTTCCAAAAGGCAGTGATGGAGTTGCCTGGTGACTGCTGGCCACCCAGGGCCTGCCCTCTGCAGGTCTCTGGAAGGTGGTTTACCCTGGATAAACCAGGGATGAGTGTGGAGGGGTGATGGGTAGTCTTAGCCTCATTTTACAGACAGAGAACCTGAGGCTTTGAGAAGCCACCTGATTTCCTCCAATGTCATGCAGTGGGCAGATGGCAAAGTCATCATTTGATCCCCAAATTTGTCTTAGAAGCTCCTACTCTGCCAGCTATACCAGATGTCCCCTACTTCGGGGAGTATATACTCCTTTAGTTGCCATGGAGATCGTGTACTTTCTAATGACCCAACGATGATAACCTGTAAGCCTGTCTAGGTTCTTCAAGAAGCCAGTTAGGGCAACATAAAAATTTCAGTCTTGTTATTTTAAAGTCACTTCCAGATGTTTGGGTTTTTCCCCAAGCTTAGATAGCCATATTCATAAGACTTTCCCACAGAGTCAATCTACTATTGGATAGCAAAGTTCTTTCACTGCAGAGAAAGTATAAAAGCCCACATTGCAAGTTCTGGAGGTGGCTGATGAGGGTGGGAAAGACAGGTTGCGGTGTCTTTATGGGAGGCAACCCTGCCTCCAAAGGGACTTTGAGCCTCCTGCCCACCATCCCTGTTTAGGACTCACTCAGTTTTCACCTTATTCTTCAGGGAAATGTTGTGACAGGTGTGACAGGTGGGTAGGGCATGGGCAGGGTCCTCAGATCTATTTCCTGTTATGCTTTGGGCCTGGGCTTTTCTCTGAGGGGCCAATGTCCCTGGAAGGCCAGTATCTTCTGGACTCTTTCATGGCAAGAGAGTTTGAGCTGTGGCACTGCAACTCTGGCTCCCAGAGAAGGTGCTCCCATGCCCCAAGGGCCAGGCTGTGTCTTCCTGTTCCTCATGCACTAATTAGCCTGTTACTCCCACCTGTGCCCCCTCAGGGAGGTTGGGGCTGTGGGGCTCCTGCTTTCCCTTGTTCCATTTCCAGGAGGGGCTCAGTTCAGCCATGGGGCATGTGGCCTTTGAGTCATTTTTCCTAATGGACTTAAGTATGTTTGTGAGGTTTGTGTGTGTGTGTGTGTGTGTGTGTGTGTGTGTTCTATAGCTTTTTGGGTGGGTGGGTGTGGAAAAAGAGGAGAAGGATGAGGGACAGGACACAGGAACTATAGCTCTCCCATTGCTGATTGCCTCCTTGGTGAGGGAACTCCTGGCAGGGGTCTGGTTAGTCTCCCACAGCCCTCAAAACTGAGGAGTCACCAAGGTCACTCAACCGCTCTCCAACAGCCTCATCCCTCCCCCTATGCATTACCTACTCCAGCTCATTCTGACTCCTTCATTCTCTCCTGCTGACCCTCATCTCTTTCTTCCTTGTTCCCAAGATAAGCCCCCAAATACCTGATGATCTTTTGAGTCTTTCTAAATGGCCTAGGCTGAATCCTCCCCTTCCATTTTGCCCCTGATGTTGCTGTCCATTTGAAGAACTCTGCTCCAACACTCAAGTCTTCGTGCTAGGCTCATGCTGTGCCTACATCTAACCCCAACACAACGTGCCAAACACTCACACTATCCACCCCCACACACCCCAAACACACACACACAGACCATACACACTTACACCACACTATTTATACACACCATCATGCCATATGTAACATACTACATGCATGTACAATTCCACCCCCACAGTGTACCCCACACACAATACCATACACCACATTCCCCCTCCCCACACACATTTCACATGCACACCTCTTCTCTAGTTGACTTCCTGTGTTAGTTCCTGTAACCCCGCTGACAGACTGTCAGGTCTTCCCTTGGCGCTCACAATTTTGTGGAGCAATGATTGCCTCTCAGATGTCAGAGGACCATGTTTGCTTTTCTGTGAGCCTCAGAATCACCACTGAGTCTGACTGTGGTCTTGTACGAGAATGAGGGGCTAGAGGAGTTAGTGAGGGAGCCCTCAGGCAGTGATTATGAGAAGCACTTGGCAAGTTTGGGCCATGACAAGATGAAGACTGCTGACTGGGCTGGGTACAGCTGTCTCTAGACCCTACCCTGGGGAATCTCCATGCATCAACCTTGTACCTGGTCGGCCTGGTGTTCTCATCTCTTCCTGTGGATGTTGTGTTAATGGGGCTTCTCATATTGCTGGGGGAATCAGATTAAAGGGAGATTTACTGAGAGATAAGCCTCTTAGACCTGAACCATCTGTCTCTTCTGTACCTCAGCTCAGTAGCTCTGTGCTTACTGTGAACATCACCCCTACCCCCAGAGTAGGTCAGGAAATGCAGGAACTTCCCTGAGCTATGCCCCTCTGCAGGCATTTCATACCTGCCCACTTATTCTTGGAGAAGTTTACATAATCTCCATTTTAAACAAAAAGGAATTGTTGTGTCCAGGTCACAGAGAAACTCCTTGGCAGGGCTGGGATTTGCATCCTGGTGTGTTGGACTCAGACACCCAGCCATTGTTTCTCTTCTTCGCATGGTTAGATTGTTCTGTGAGGGAGTGACCTTCAGGTTCTTCAGGGACAGTTTCCTTTTCAGCAGAACATTTTGGCTCAGGCCCCATCACCAACTTTCTCAAGCAAAGATACTGTACGTACTTTGTCTGTGTGTTTATTTTTTTTATTTGTTTGTTTGGGAGTTTTTCTCAGCAGACTTAGATCAGGAGGTTCCTTCAAGAACCATTGCATTGCTGGTGGCTAAATGGTAGGAGCTGGGGCAGACCTAGGTCTGGACTCCTTGGGTCTTGCTAACCTGCACCCCAGTAGGCTTGGGAATCTCTGGATTTGTAGCTGCCACAAATCATGATGGAATCCTTCACCTTCAGCACGGGAGGGGTTCTGTGGAGGCTGAAGCCATGGGGGCTGAGTCTGATTCACAATAACTATCTGTGAAGGTTGATGGCATGACTGGGAGCAGGCCCTAGAGTTCCAGAACTTCTCCAGGGTCCTTGCTGCATGAGAAAACCCTCCAACATCACTGCTCACTGCTGTGAAGTCAAAAGGGGCCTCCAGTTGTCTCTGCATTGAACGTGAAGGTCTCAGCTGGATGGAGCCTGGCTTTGGGATCACTACACCTGTGGTAGTGCCCCTGGCACCACCCATAAGCCTTTGGCTGGCTTGATCCTGCACATTCTGCAGCCCCTCAGATGGTTTCCTGGGGAGGAGCAACAGCAGACAAGAGGAGGGGGCAACAAAGGCGG